TGGAGAAGAGTATTGAATGTACCATGGACTGCCAAGAAAACAAACAGATTCATCCTGGAGAGGGTTAAACCAAGCTACTCCTTGGAGGCAAGGATTCTGGGGCTTCGTCTGACATACTTTGGGCATGTTGCAAGGAGGGACCAGTCCTTGGAGAAGGACATCATGCTTGGGAGGGTGGAGGGACGGCGCAAGAGGGGAAGACCCTCTATGAGATGGATTGATTCAGTGACTGGGGTAATCGGGATGGGTGTGTCAGAGGCAGTGTGATTGGCACAGGATAGAGCAGGGTTTAGGGCTGTTGTACGTGGGGTCACTATGAGTCGCAAACGACTTGATGGCACATAACAACAACATCAACAACAATAGAATGGTGAAATAGATGGAAAAGTTGTTTATAATAAATAACTTGTGTATTTGAATGAAGGACTTGGGGTGTAATTGCACTAGAGGAAACAGTGAAGAAGCCAGATGTGAATAATGATGAATGAGTCAGGGTCAGATATTCATGCAAGGATTACAGGAAATGAAGTGGAAGACGTGGCTGAAACAAGCGTCTGCTCTGTTGAGTGATATACTGAACAGGGCTTATTTGTTTGAGACACTAAGGAAGGAGCAGAGGATTGATAGGTGGATGTGCATATGTAGTCATCTCCTGAGAGCTCCTTGGAGATCTCTGTGTGTCTTGGTATCAGTCTTTCCTTGGGTCTAGGTTCTCAGTGCAAGGTCTCCAGGTCCTAAGGATTCTCTCTGTTTAGTCATTGAATCTTTTTATACATCTAAAGAGGTAGACTCAAAATAAAATACAATCCTTTCATGTATGTCCTGCCTCATTTGTTGTATGACTGTGTCTAATTTTACCATCAGAGAAGTTAGGATTTACAACACACAAGATAATTACTTTAGATTACAAAATGGAGGTGGTGGTTGTTGTTATGTACCGTTGAGTCTCCTGCAACTCCTAGTGACCCTATGTACAACAGCCCTCAACTCTCCCCTATCCTGTGCCAATCTCACCATCTCCGACACACCTACCCCCATTACCCCAGTCACTGAATCAATCCATCTCATCAAGGGTCTTCCTCTCCTGCACTGTCTCTCCACCTTTCCAAGCATGATGTCCTTCTCCAAGGACTGGTCCCTTGATAATTACACAATATCGAGACTCATGGCTGGTCAAATTGACATATTTTTACGGGCACAATCTAATTCATAACATCTATTAACAAAGGTCCTCATCACTGGGTCAGTAGGCAACATCATGATAGATGGAGAAAGGATTAAGGTTGTCAATTGATTTTATTTTGCTTGGACCAACAATCAACACCTTTAGCCACCCAACCAGTACCAACAGTCAGGAGATCAAGAGACATGTTGCATTAGGCAAGTCTGCTGACCAAAACTTTTCCAAAATGGAAGAACAGTGATGTCAGTTTGAAGACTAAGGTGTCCCTGATTGAGGCCATGACCTTTTCAATCACTTGCTATGCATCTGAGAGCGGGACAGTGAATAAAGATGACAGAAGAGTTGATGCCTTTGAATTGTGGTATTGGAGAAGAGTGCTGAATATCCTATGGACTGTCAAAAGAATGAATAGATATGTCTTGGGAAAAAGTGCAGCAAAAATGCTTCCTGGATGCATTCCAAGATGGCAAAGTTTTGTTTCTCATACTTTGGACATTTTGCTAGGAAAGGCTGTTCCCTGGAAAAGGACATCATGGTTGGAAAGGTGGAGGGTCAGTAAAAGAGAAGAAAATCCCCAACAAAATGGAATGACACAGTGACAGCAACAGTGTGCTTAAGTGTGTCAGAGATGATGAGGATGGCACAAGATAGGACAGGGTTCAGATCTGTTGTTCGAAGGGTTGCTGTAAGTCATATTCAACTTGATGGCACCTAACTAATAACAAAACCTAAAAGTTCTGAGATTTGAGTCCACCTGGAGATGTAAGAAAAGTTTGGTGAGAAGTTTCTGAAAAATCATTCATTGAAAGCCCTACAAAATATCCCTCTCTAATACACAAGAATCATTTTGAGTCAGGATTGACTCCATGGTAACTAAGTTGTATTGGTTTTTAGGGCATTTTGTTTTATTTTTTAGTGTATAGAAAAGAAATAAGAAATTTCAGATAATTCTTAGCAGTAAATTTCACCTCAGTTTTAAGTATCTCTGGGATTTCACAACATTGGGCTCTAAATCTACTTAGTGTTTGCAATGGTCTTGTGACCTAAGCTCCACTGGCATCGTCTCCAACTAAACTTGTCATGGGGAAGCTGCAGGCCAGAAGGAAACAGGCCTCAGTGCTTTCTGCGGCCTCTGCCCAGTAAAGCCTTCCTTCCTGCACTGACCTCCTGATGCAGGTGTCTTGCAGCTGCTAGAAGTGTTTGGAGCCCCTGCACAGACTTGTAGTGAATTTAGTCTGTTACAGGCACCAGGAACCATGCAGGAATTCTTGAGTCAGTATGGGGACTGTCCTTTACCCCATGGAAATACTGCGGTCCACACAGTGCTGCCCACCACTGCTGGAACATCCATGTCTGACCTCATCATCACAAAGCTAACCAAATCCCCTGAGAGTCTGATAGTTCATAGTGACAGTTACCCAAGCATGGATCTAAATCCCAGGGTGCTGGGAGCCATGCAAACAGACTGATCTCCTCTCCTCCATGTCTGTCACCTGCAGGTTAGGGAGGAACCAAGAATTAGCATCTGCAAAGTGTTTTGTGAAGATACTGCCTTAGATCCCAAGTTCAGCCTGGGGCTAACTGGCCTGAGAAGAACTGCTCTCTGGCACCTCTTAAGTGAATCCTCACGCTAGCTGATGCCTGTGTGTTTTTCCTTGGGCAAGGGCGCCTCCTAGTGCCTGCTTGAGGATGAATGCCTGTGTGTAATGGAGGATCCTCTTGCCCCCGTGCACAGATCACTCCCCAACACGCGCGCGCGCACACACACACACACACACACACACACAGTCTCACGCACACCTGCAGGTGCCCCTCGTACACATTCACACATGTGCACAGTAGCACCAGAGGAGGAAGCTCTGATCCCTGCTGGACTATCACTGCCCACAAGAGAACTGCCTCCTCATTGTGGCCTATGTGGACTTCCCCCTTCAGAGCTTTAACTCTGTTTGCCTGTCTATAGCCAGGCTTCCACACTGCCCCCTCCTGTTGCCTGGCCTTCTACACCTGCAGGGGCCCTGCTATAGGTCCAGTTGACCCTCAAAGCCCTTCCCACTGTCCACTGAAGTCTTCAGATTTGTACTTGAGGTGACTAGCAGGGTGGAGGTGAAGATACCCCTGATCTCCTCTCCTAGCCCAGGTCCCTGAGGACAGCGAGCTGTGAGGAAATGCCTGGCCTCATTCACCTGGGGTTGCCATAGTGGGAGCTCAGTGTATTTTGGGTGCCCCTCCCTGGCCTCTAGGCTCTGCCCAGTGTATGTGGTGGAGGTGTTGTAGCAGCGGCTCAGGTGGGCCTGGCGTAGTTAGAGGACTGCAGAGGCCTCACAGCTTTGGGTGTGTGTGTCTGCACTGGCTGGTGAAAACAACCAGGGCATCCCTCTAACCATGGCAGGGCCTCCTTGGCTCCAAGCACTCAGGTTGAGCCACAGGACTTGGCCTGAAGTTATTGGGCAGACACAGCCACCCGCTGGCCAAGGACTGCACCTAGAGCAGTAGTGCTGACTTGGCCTTCCCTCCCCCGGGCACCCTGTCATCTAGCCACTCTCTGTCAGGCCTAGATATTGGGATTCAGAGGCTCAGATGCCACCAGCTTCAGTGGTCTTCCCCAGTGGACTTCAGGACGTCCTAAGCCTCAGACCATCTCAAAGCTGACAGTCCACGATGGAGGAAGGGGTCAGGGCAAAGTGCTAGTGTACATTCTACGATGGAGAGGGTAGATCCTGGAAAGAGTGCCCCAGCTCTGTGAGGGGGGCCATAGCTGAAAGCTGGCTGTGGCCTAAAATGGGATATAGGAGGTGGTGTAATCATGACATTGAATGCTGTTGCTCATTGCCTTCGGAGAAAGTCAAGCAACCAGGAAATGGTGTCCAGAGGTTGGAGCGAGCACCAGGTCCTGAGACAGATCTGGTGGCCCCAAGACAGGTGCTGATAAATAGGGTCACCTTTCCACGTTTGCAGAAGGACAGGGCTGTGATGCTGGGAATTCTTCATCCCCTTTTGCTGCTCTCGACCCTGGATGCCTCTTTGTGGATGGGGCTTCAGTGTGTCCCCTGCTGCATCTCCCTGCCTCACACCATGGGGGAGGCTGCATGTGGGAGATCATGGAGCAGAGCCTGCAAGTGAGTGGATGGATGGATGGATGGATGGATGGATGAATGATGTTAATTCTGGGGCCCTGGAGCATCAAAGAACTCCTCTTAAGTGTTGTGGGGCTCTTTAACTTTTTGTGTGTGTGCTTCCTTTCTGATTTTTTATTATAAAAAGTTAAGTTGCAGGTAAAAACCTCAAATTTGCCTTGGCTAATCTGAATTCAAGCCCCCTGTTGAGCCTCTGAAAGCATTGCCACACCCAGGGTGACCTGCTGGGTCTACCTTCATTCAAGGACCTTCATCAGACCAACAGATGCTGGGATTTCAGACGAATGATGCTCACATATGCCCATCACATGCAGTATGCTCGTCAGGGAGGCTGACTCACCTTCCCCACACCTCATCTTGATCCCGAGTCCTCTAGTTCTGAAAGGAACCGAGCATCAGTCATCCTAGTGGGATCCCCCCCCCCACATTCTACCTTGTCACTCAGGGTGATCTGAGCACTGGGGACACCTGTCTATGACTGCCTGTTCGTAGAGAAAATATCTTCACCACAGAGGGGGCACAATCCAAGAGCAGAGTTTACTAGATAAAATGACCTCACTACCCTTTCCATTCATGTGCCCCCCACTTGGTGACATTGTGTGAGTCAGGGTCTCCGTGTTGGTGCTGCCTGTCTCAGAGCTGGTGATGACCCCTTTGCCTTCTTCTCTCTGTGTCTTTAGGGGCTGATTGCAGAGCTAAAAGTGAGTGGGGATCCCCGGATGAGCCCCCTGCATTGCCTGGAGGAGGATGATGATGATACAGATGGGGTAAGTGTTGGCAGTAACTGCGAGGGGCACGGCCTGATGCCAGCTCTGCTTTTTCTAACCCTGCATGCTGGAGGCCTGTCATGGCTTCCTTTCTGTGGGGATACCAGAGTGACAGGAGAGAAAGATGCTACTTGGAGTTCTAACAGCCTCAGATAACTTTTTTGTTTTTTCTACAACATCAGAAGTATCCTTCTTTGGCCTTGAGGTTTGCATTTAAGAGAAAATACAGAACACAAAATTAATCTTACAAACCACTCCTAGAATATTTAGTTGTATGGCATAATGGATAGTTGTTGTTACTGTATACCACAGAGTCAGAACCAACCCATAACTGACCCACCCATGGGTTTTCGGGGGCTGGTAATCACATGGGAGGAGTTTGCCCATCCTTTTCCTGCAGAGCAGCTGGTGGCCTCAGACTGTGTGCCTTTGGAATTGCAGTGCATCTTCTTGCCACTTGGCCACCAGAACTCCCTATAAAAACTACATCAAGTTAGCACCTCATCATAGTTGTCTCTCCAGTGGGTTTTGGAGGCTGTAAATTGCGTGGGAGGAGATTGCCCACCTTTCTCCTATAGAGCAGCTGATAGACTCGAACAACCAGAGATGCCACTTTGGGGTAGTAGGTGCATCTCCCTGTGACGATGCCGCCAGAGCTCCCTCTGTGCACACACCAGGATATCAAGCCGGAACTCAATGAGACAGCCTTCTTTTTCTGGGTCTCAAAAATTTCCCACCTTTGAGAGGGTATAGTCATCACTTTTATGTTGCTCATTTTAGTAGAAAATACCTACTCTGCATTTTCCTTCTTTAATAGTTTCCCACTTTATACCAGTTCTGGCTTTCATGTTTTACTGTATAGAGATAGATACCGGTTACATGGGATGTACAGGATAGCAACCAGCGACTCCTGGAGTTGAGGGACAGGGGAAGCCTCATCCCAGGGTGGACCCCAGATCACATAGACAGCCTTCATCTCAAATGGACATGTACTTCCCATACTATCTGTATCGCTACAAGTACGCAGGCAGAATTATCAGCTGTGGTTTTCTTTCAGGCAATCACTCTATAGTTATTTACAGTTCCCAAGTTTTCTATGATCAGACTATTGCTTTTATCCCTAGAGAAATCCCAGGATGTGGTGGATGCTTAGTGCTTGTCCCATGGCGGACAGGGCTACCAGGTGCACCCCACTGTCTTGAGTGCCTGCTGCACATGCCTCCCAGGCCTGCCCTGCCTTCTCCAGGGGCACTTTCCCAAGAAGCAGCCTTACTCGGGGCCATGCCCACTGTGGACTCCAGGGCAGATGGTCAACAGGGACCTCCCTTCCCCCAGGCTTTATTAATGCCAGCTGCTCTGACGGGAAGGCAGTGTCGGGGCCCATGGCCTCCCCTACTTATGACCATCCAGCATGGACAGCGGTGGCTGGGACACGGCATGGTGGCCAGCTTCCCTGGACACGCTCTCTGCTGTCTAGAACTCTCTCTGTTTTGTTCCTAGTAACTCAAGTTCTCAGGAGCGAGTCACATTGTGTGTCCTTGTGCTTGAGGCTTTTTTCTTCTTTGTTGCTCCTCCTAAATAATGCCCCAGGAGTAGAAGGTCAATCCAAAGACAGAAACAGATTTCTTTATGGCTCTCTGTCCTCACAAACGGTTTCTCAAAGAATCCCTCTAATAAATCAGATTAAATGTGCCTGTTGGGTGGCCAGGGAATTCTGGTGACTTAGTGGTAAGAAGTTGTGCTACAATCCCAAAGGCACCCCGTTCGAATCCATCAGCTTCGTGGGAGGAGGATGGGCAGTCTCCTGTGCAATTTATGGCTTCTGAAAACCCACTTGAGAGTCAGCTATGAGTCATTTTCAACTCAGTGACACAGTAACAACAGCATAGCAACATGAACTGGCCGGTGCCCGGGCAAGGTCACACATTATTCCAGTGGTCACATGGCACCACCCCTGCCCTCTCCCTCCTGGAAACAGCTACAAGAGGAGGACTGGCCCCGAGTGAGGCTCAGAGCTGTCTGGACAAGGCATTGGTCATCATATTGTTTGTCTCACATTCATCATTCAGGCATCAGGAGATTTTGGAAGTGGGCTCGAGGACAACCAGGATGACCGCATGCAAGAATCGGTGAGTAGCTCTGGCAGCATCACCTCTGGGGGTGGTCCCTTTATCTTCTCAATTGTGCTCATGTGTGATCGATCCTAAGGCCCTATCTGCTCTGAGACCCATGTTCAGCCAGGAACCAGGATATCATGGCCATGTCCAGCTACAGTGTCCAGTGAGTGGCTTCCTCCGAGTGACCTGCATCATCCAGACGAGCTCAGAACAGGACTGACCCGTCCCAAGCCTCAGGCTGTGTTTATTTTGTGTCCTCTGTGAAACAGTGGCTCTTTAGAATGAGCTTTCTAACTAAACATTCCTGGTCCTTGATGTGACCTTGGCATTTCTTCTTCTCTGTGAGTTTGTAGGGGTCCTGGTAGATTCATGAATTGTAGGTCTGCAGCAAGAGGGAATGTTTGTTCAGCAGAGGGCTCCTGGGAGGTCAGATCACTGGTGCTTTCCCCAGCTCTGGCCACCTGAAACAACATGGACTGGCTGGGGAGGGGAGGAGAGGAGGTGTGTATGAGTCTCTTGGGGCTGCTGTAACAAAGTATCACGAACTGGGTGGTTTGAAACAACAAAACTTTCTTTCTCATTCTAGAGGCAAGAAGTTCAAAATCAGGGTGTCAGTATAGGGAGCAGAGCTCCCTCTAGGGGTTCTGATAGATGGTCCTTCCTGTCTCTTCCAGCTTCTGGTGGTTGTGGCTTGTGGCCACATCATTCTAGCCCAGTCTCTGACAGGGTCTCTGTGTTCAAATGTCTCCTTTCAAGGGACACCTGGTATGTTAGATGAGGCCCATTGTAATGCCTGCATCAGTTCATGCCAGTAAAGTTGTGGAGACCCTGTGAGGGTTCTCCTCTGCAGACTCATAGGCAGTTAGGGGTCAGAATTGACTCAGTGGCAATGGGTTTTTATTTTATTTTATTCCAGAATGCTCCCATGCTAACTTGGATATATCAGCAAAGACCTTATTTCCAAGGTCACACTCTGGTTCTGGTGAACATGAATTTTGGAGAGAATAGCATTCAGCTGGGTGCAGGAAAAAAGGGAAGGAGACAAGAAAAGAAGAGTCCCAAGGGAGAAACACTGTTTCAGAAATGCTGAAATGGTGATGAGCCTGGAGCTTCCTGGTAGATTGACAGAAGGTCTAAATGATCCACAGCTGTTGGGAGCCTCCACCCTGGAGTCCTTTCCCTCCCCATTGCCCATTGGCTGGCTCAGAGCTCAGTGGAGCTCCCAACAGGACAGCCAGGAACAGGTCCACTCTGCACTGTCCACTCGCAAAACCGTAGATACCCTCCCTCCACCCACCCAGAAATCTGCCCTTGGTTTCCACCAAACCCAGTTCTATTGATGAGGACAGCCTTGCTGGTGGTCAGTCTGGCTGTGGTCCTGGTGAGGAGGCAGCCTGACTCTCGTGGGTATCCAGACAGGCTCTAGAGGACACTCACTCCCACTCAAATCCATTAAGTGTGTGGGCAGCTGCCCAGGGGTCCCTGACCTCCCTCTGTGGTCTGAGAGGGAAGAGCAAGGGCTAAGCCACAGTGTAAAGCAAGCGTGAAATTTCCTGGAGAGAAAACAAACTTACATAGCGTCTATTTAAGTAATTTTAAAACTGGGCCCTTTAACAATTTAGGAACCACATAAACATCATAACTTTGACTTTCATGTTTTAAATGAAATATAAACATGATAAAACACAGATTGCTTTTTAATAAGAAATGGCAAATGAAATCCTAACATAACTCTTGCGTCTTGAGAGGGAGTTGATGATTTGGGTTTGTGTGGGGGGCCTGGTGGTGGGAGGGAGGGAAGGGGCGTCTTGGCCTGAGTTGGCTGCGGCACATCACCCCCAGAGCTATAGGGCTTCACAATCTAGCTCGAGAAAACCACAAGCAGACTGCTCTGAGGGAAACACTGGGAGGTAAAGCCCAGTGCTAGTACCCTATACACAGAAGCAAAGCAAACCCCCCGAACTCATGCCAACTAACATCGAGTAGATTCTGACTCATAGCATTTCCTTGGGGGAGAGTAGAGTTTTCAATATTATAATCACAGACCACCACATCTTTTTCCTGGGTACCAATCATCAGCCCTTTTGTTAACAACCAAACAGTTTGCCACCAGCTCCCATATTTGGACTTCCAGGATGTCGATGTTGCTGGATAATGAACTGTGTTCCCTTCTCCTCACCCAGGGATCTTCTCTGAAGCCTGGCCTGCCTGAGGCTCCACCGGTCACTTCTCCACCCTTGGCTGAAGGGAGCAACGTAGAAGATACTAGAACTGAAGAAATCGAGGAGGAAACTACAGTGCCTATGCTAGGAGGTAAAACTCGTCTCTAGGTGTGATTTGTGTGTCTGGCGTGTGTTGCATGTTGTGTGTGATGTGTGTGGTATGCACGTGGTATGTGTGTATGTGGTAGTGAGTGTGTCCGTGTGCATACATGTTTGTGATGTGTGCATGTGTTAGGACTTGCTCCCCAGAGGGGAAGTCTCTCAGGGTTTGTGTTTGCAGAAAGACCAAAAAACTGATCCAGAGACAAACTATAAAACATATCTTTTTGGGGACAGGAAACTTACTGGTGAGCGGGAGGGTGCAACCACACAGCTCCGGTGGTGGTGAGTCAGAGAAGTCAGCCCTGAAGATGGGGGCACCTGGCCCAGGCCATAGTCTTCACAGTTGCTTGCTATGTGTCAGAGAGCTAGATAATGACTAGGGATGATAGAATGATAGATGGTGAATTGTACATGCTTTTGAGCTGTGGTGCTGGAGAAGAGTGTTGAACATACCATGGACTGCTAGGAGAACAAACAGGTTTGTCCTAGAAAGGGTGATGCTGGGCCGCTCCTTGGAGGCAAGGATTCTGAAGCTTCGTCTGACATACCTTGGGCATGTTGCAAGGAGGGACAAATCCTTGGAGAGGGATGTCGTGCTTGGAAGGGTGGAGGGACGGAGAAGAGAGGGAGACCATAAATGAGATGGATTGATACAGTGACTGGGGTAATGAGGATGGTGTGTCGGAGACAATAAAGTTGGCACAGGATAGAGCAGAGTTCAGGGCTGTTGTACATAGGGTCACTGTGAGTTGCAAGAGACTCAATGGCACATAACAACAACAACAACACACATAACCCTCAATACATAGTTATATAGACTTGTTGTGAAAATATTAGTAATGCATAATCCAGGCCACAGTCTTCGCAATTAGTTGCTATTCAACAGAGAGCTGGACAGTGACTAAGGATGACAGAAGAATGGAGGCCTTCGAGTTGTGCTGCTGGAGAAGAGTCTTGAACATGCCATGGACCGCCAAGAAGACAAATAGATCTGTCTTGGAGAGGGTGAAACCAAGTTTCTCCTTGGAGGCTAGGATTTTGAAACTCTATCTCAAATACTTTGGGCATGTGGTCAGGAGAGACCAGTCTTTGGAGAAGGACATCATGCTCAGAATAGTTGGAGGAGAGGAAGACCCTGGATGAGATGGATTGATACAGTAACTAGGACAATGGGGGTTGGTGTGTTGGAGTCAGTGAGACTGCCTCAGGACAGGACAGGTTTGAGAGCTGTTGTCCATAGCGTCACTATGAGTCACAGGAGACTCGACAGCGCGTTAACAACAAATAACCTTAGCTTAAGGGGAATAAACCTGCTTATTGAGGGAGGTTGATCACTTTGCCCTTATTCTGGGGGAAAAAACCCAGAAAAATAAGTCTAATGGAAATAAGTATTATAAGAGAAGCACTTCTAAAAAGACTCAGCCAGTTTATCCTAAGTGTAGCTACTTGGGGCATTTACAGCATATATCATACAGCATGCTATATGTGTAGGTATGTGGAGTTGCATATAGTTTGGAGGCATGACGGTTGGATGGATGATAGGTGGGTGGTGTTCGGGTGTGTGTGATGAATATGTTTGTGGCGTGTGAGTTTTAGTATGTGTGTGGAGTATAAGTATGTGAATGTAGTTACCTCATGTATAATGTGTATGTGTAGTGTGTGGTGTATAGCTGGGCGAGGCCTCAGTCTATCATGAGTATATCCAGATCTGGTCAGTACTGACCAGCTCTGGAAAACAGCCTCTGCCTGGGCATCAGCAAAACACACTGAGGCCCAGGGGAATGCAGGGCAGAGCCGCTGTTTGGATCATCTCCTCTGGTAGGTCTGCACCCCGTTCCTACTGTGTCTAGCAGCAATATTTGTGGGGAGCCCCAAGTGTGTGTGGGACTGAGGCTCTACCCACTCTTGCTGGTATGAGGTGGGCTGGGAGGACATGGTATATTCTGAGAAAGAAGTGGGCATCAGGACTGGGGACAGCTTCACCCTGAGCCTCTTCACAAAGCCCCGCCATCTGTGGGGCCTCCTCTCTGGGTTAAGGTGGCTTTGGGGGCTGCATGGGCCTGGAGACATTCAGTAGAGGAAATGCATATCTTATATGTTAACTGTCTGTAGCTGAGAGACCAGTTATCACAAACTTAGTGTCTTAAAGACAACACTCCCTTATTATCTCACAATTCCTTTGAGTTGGAGGTGTTTGAGCATGACTATTGAGAATCTCACAACACCAAATCAAAGTGTGGGCTGGGCTGGGCTGTGCTCTCACCCCGTCTGGGCTGTAGAAGAACTTTGTCCTATGAGGTTGACGAGTCGAGGTTCCCATTTCCTTGCTGGCAGCAGGTCAGAAGCCACATGCATTCCTTGACACCTGGACTCCTTCCCCATTTCAGATCCAGATTCGGCAGTTGTAGATCTGCTCACCTTGACTCTCCTTCTCCTCTGGCTTCCCTACCTAGCTTTCCTGCACTTTAGGGCTCGTGTGATAATTGGGCCCCCTTCGACCATGTTTACTAACCTTGATTACATCTGAAGAGCCTGGTTAGTGTTTGGTTGAATAGTATGGGGGTGCAGTTGCTGTGGAGAAATATTAATAATTCTAACATACTTTTGTCTATGTTCTAGGAAATTATATGTAAATAGATATTATTTCATTTTAGAGAAGGTTAGTGATTTTTTTGGTTAAATTTTTGCTGCAGTCAGCTTGGAAACAGGAAAGAACAAGAATCTATCCCCAGAGGCCACACTGTTTATGCTCTTAACCTTACAACGACAAGAGAATGTCCACTGTAGTTGTCACTGGAATAGCTTTTCATGGGCACAGCCAGGAGGGGTCTGCTGTGATGTGTTAGCGAGGGCAGGACTTGGGCCCCCTGGGACAGAATGCGTGTTGGGACCTGGAGGAGCAGGGCACATAGCTTCTCATGTGGTTCCTTTGAAGCAGCTTGGTTCAGGCCCATTCGGGAAAACAGTGGACAGACTGATTGGTGAAGGTAGTAGGGGAGAAGGAGAGCAGAGGTCTCTGCCTAGGGCCAGATGGCAAGTATTTTAGACTCCATAGGCCACGTAGCCTGTGAGATATGTTCTTAGGTGTCTTGTTTGATCTTGTGGTGGTGGGTGGTCTTTATACCTCTGGAAAACCGTTCTCAGCTTGAAGTCAGCTTGAGCCACAGGCTTCAGATCTAGATTACAAAGACTCAACTGAGTATGAGCCTTGGCCCAGTTGTGGGGTTCCCCAGTGCTAAACCTCAGGAAAGAAGCTGGAAACTATCTCGCTGGGCCAGCAGGAGACTTGAATATGGGCTGTGGGCTGTGTGTCCAATCATAATATATATTATTGTGGAACCTCCTGAAGGTGACTGTTGTTTTATAAGATAATTTTCTAACATTTAGAAAATACAGGCTACTCAAGGGAGAGGGGTTGTGATGAGGGTTGAATCTCCAAATAGTTCAATAAAAGAGAAACAGAAGGAGAGACAGACACAAAGTGTGACGAGAGTGGATGGGCACTCATGATAATATCATAGACTAGGCCTTCTAAGCTTGATCCTGGTTTGTCTCCCTGAATAACCAAAACACTTCTGAGAAACAAAAATGAAGTGAGAGGCATAGCACTCCCTCAAACCCTACTACACAGCGGTAGTCACCAAAACAGCATGGTACTGGTACAATGACAGGCACATAGACCAATGGAACAGAATTGAGAACCCAGAAATGGACCCATCTATCTGTGGTCAGCTGATACTCAACAAGGAAATAAAACTCATCAAATGGGGAAAATACAGCCTCTTCAACAAATGGTGCTGGCAAAACTGGACTGCTACCTGCAGAAAGCTGAAACAGGCTCCACATCACACACTATATAAAAAAATCACCTCAAGGTGGATCAGAGACCTGTAGATTTTTTTTTAATGTTTTAATTTTTGGTATTTTTTAGATATAAGAAAACACAAAACAGAAATTAGGAAACCTGGGGTCTAGTTCCAAATGTAGCAAGATTTTGCCAAGTCCCTGGGTAGTGTGCAGAATAAATAATACATGTTCCTAAGTGAAGGGTCAGGGACACCTTGAAAGTAGAAGACCTGGCAATCTTCTTCTAAAGCATCACCAATAGAAAATTCTTTGGAGGTCAGTTCTCCTTGAACCTACGCGGTTTTGCAACAAATAGGAATTAACTCAATTATCTGTAGATGTTTAAGATTTTTTTTTTTTAAGCAGAAAAAACACACAGGGATTTTATTATTCCCAGTACGGGGCAGGTGGGCAGGTCTTCAGGTGGCAGGAAGCGGCTGTGGAGCAGGGCTGTAGAGGCAGGAGTGGTCTGACTTGCTGGCGATCAGAGGGTTCCTCAGGACCACGGTGACCAAGTCCCCACACAGGAATATCGTGAGATGCAGCGGTTCTTTTTACGGGCTTGCACTTCTTGTTGCCCTTGCCATCTTCAATAAAAAGTTGAGAGAGAAAAAAGGGGAGGAAAAAATGTACGAGTGTTAAGAAAGCAGAATTATGGGCCAGGATCTCTTGATAGAAGGAAACCAGGAAGCAGCTTCTGGAAAGGTCTAGATAGTGCTGTTGGGTCAGTGGGGCTCCCAGGGAGGGGCTATTCTCTAGTAGGGAGGTGTCTTGCTATCATGTTGTTTAGAATTGCCTTATTGATTTTGTCACTGGTTTTTAATTCTCCCCTTGGTTGCCTGCCTCAAGCAAATGCCCAAATCCCAGCCCTCCATCCCTGAACTGGGCAGCTGGAGCACACGCACTTTTGGATCTGGGTTATAGTAGGAGCAAGCCAGGCTCTAGCCCAGCACTAAGGTTGCTGTGGGGTAGCTGTAGGTCCTCCCAGAGAGAGGCAGAGGATGAGCAGAGCCCCAGCCTTGGTTCTGGGCCTGACCCGGCCATGCTGTCTCTCCTGCAGCTCAGACCCTCCCTAGTGTGAAGCAGGAGATGGCAGTTACTCTCCGTCCCGTGGATTCAGATGTGGCTGCCTCATGGGACACCACAGAAGAGGTAAGATTCCTTCCTGTACTCATGACCCATCGGACCAAGACCACTCAGACCAATGGCCCCCAGTGAAAGCCCCCAGGCCCCATTTGTCCCTCCTGCCTTTCCTGTCCCCATTTTCAATGCCCATGTCATAGTGGGGGAAGGCTTCTAGCCAGTATTGGGGAGAATTTAGTTCCAACGAGGTAAAACCCATCGGTATCCATGCCCTGGAGAGTTCGCCCGCCTCTGTCGTTCTGCAGCACGTGCACGTGGGAGAGCTGCACTCGACTCCTCCCAGCTGTGTTGTGTCTTCTCTCGTTCCTAGCAGGGTCCAAGACGTACATCTCCAGGTCTGAAGGGACAGAAGGGAGAACCAGGAGCCCAGGGCCTGCCTGGCCCACCTGGGCCCCAGGGTCACCCAGGCTCTGCTATCCTGAGACCTGATGGTCCTCCTTTACAGCCTGTCCCTGGGCCACAGGGACCCCCTGGGCCACCAGGGAGGGATGGCACCCCAGGAAAGGACGGCGAGCCGGTGAGTGTGCATTGTCCCTTGGTCAGACTCGGCCCTACCCAGGGTGGTCCAAACAGGAGCTAGAGAGGATGCGGCTGGTATGGTGGGGAGGAGACTCTCAAGAGCAGAGCACAGTACCACAGGAACCCTGGAGATCCAGACCAGTGTTCTCTGGCAGTGCTCAGTCCTTCCCTCAGGAAAGCTGGCAGGCACTGTGACACTGCCAGGCCAGGGCGGGTCACATTCATGTCCAGGAGATGGCAGCCTGGGATCCATAGTGTTCAGACACTGATAGTGTTAGTGAATGAGATTTTTAGTACAAAAAACAGATAACATTAGATGTAAAGGACATCTTTGCTGCCTTGTAGAGAATTGTTTTCCCACGGACAGTTGAGTTTTGTAAGCAAGCTGTACACAGATGTATTCGTGTCCGACTCCAAGCGGGCCCAGAAGGTGTGGTTTCCCGTCACTCACACTCTCCTTGTCCTTCCAGGGAGACCCCGGTGAAGATGGAAAGCAGGTAGGTCGGCTTCTTGCCTCATGTTATCAGAGCCAGGTGTTAGCATTTAAGGGGCCCTGGTGACAGTACATGTTAGACTGTGATCCCAGAGGTCAGCGGCTCGAGTCTAGCAGCTGCTGTGTGAGAGGAGGATGGACAATATCTGCCCGTAGAGATTCACTGTCCCAGAGTTCCTGTCGAGGGTCACTGTGAATCAGAGTCTGCTCCAAGCAGCAGGTTTCGGGGCTTATCCATTACATTTGCACAAGACTGTTAGCCATTTTTTTCTTTTTACCTATGACTTCAAAACAAAATCATTTTGACAAAATAATTTTTTTGTTAAGAACACAGAAATCTAACCATTGACAGAATAATAAGTATGTACGCATTTATTGAAGTATTTAAATGAAAAATGAAAAAGTACGGGTTCAAAATTCTTAGAGCTAAAAGATAAATAATGTAGAATTTGAAGGTGTTTGTCAGGCAAGCCATTGCAATACAGAAGTAGAGAAAATTAAGGTAGAGTCAGCACAAATGTGTCAGCAATTATGGTAAATAAAACATTTCTGCTTTCAGAACTCAATTTGAGGTTTTAGAGATCAGTAAATACTGTTTCCAAGAAACACAAGTAAATACAGGGTGTGTTAATAGGAATTAAAGTTTGGGAAACAGCATAACAGGAAATTGGTAACATAATACAGGTGTTTAGGGTGTGTGTGTGGGGGGGGGTGTATCCAACACACAAGCTGAACACAGTCTTTTCCAAACAATTCAAACATATTGAAAATTTAAGCAACAGGGACTTCTCAGCCTTATTTACCCAAAGTAGAAAACGTACAGGCACATTTTTTGTCCCAGTGTCTCCAACAGCATACAGGTACCCATGTACACAAATGCATGTACGTGGGTATATTACACACACAGGTATACACATACATATAAACACATGCATGTGCACATAAGCACATATTTACACACATAACAAACAGAGGGCTTGGTATTTAGCAGAAATGTCTATGGAGATGCCACATCCAGCATTGTGGCACGGACACACCAGACACTGCTTTGAAGTCTGGGACCCCTTCAGTCAGCATGTCCATCTGAGGGATCTGACCCTCAAGGTGAAAGAGCATGGCTTTTTTCTGGATTCTCAATGCCTATATTGGGTCTGGGCCTCGTGGGAATAGCAGGAGGGTGGACAGGCATTGAGGACATAGATATGACAGATTCTTCCCCTGCCTGCATGACCCTTCTCTGTCTTTCAGGGTGACACTGGGCCTCAGGGCTTCCCAGGAACCCCAGGAGAGATAGGTCCTAAGGGTGAGAAGGTAAGTGTTGGTCTGGCCTGGGCAGTGGCCCCTTCACCCTGTCTGCCCTCTGAGTCTACGGAGCTCATGTGCCCTCGGTACAGTGTACTTGCTCTGTATCCCCAGGGGGACCCTGGGGTTGGACCACGTGGACCGCCAGGGCCCCAGGGGCCTCCAGGACCTCCAGGGCCATCTTTCAGACATGACAAGCTGGTGAGTTCAGACCTGGTGGCAGTCAGCAGGGGTTTCTGGCCCACTGAGTGCTGGGTACTCTTGAGACTTTCCTCATCCGAGTCATAGGGTCTCGGCTCACCTTCTCTTTGCTCCTCTGGATTCTAGAAGCCTGGTGGGGTGTTCGGGCTGGGATGGGGCAGGTCTGCACGCACTGCATTTCTGCTTACCCCACTCTTGGGACACTTTCCCCTCAGACCTTCATCGACATGGAGGGGTCAGGGTTTGGCGGTGACCTGGAGACCCTCAGGGTAAGTGTCCTTGGCAGGGGCGGTATGTGTAGACAGGTCCACTTCCCCTTCAAGGGCAGTAACAAGGTCGATGAGAGATGGGGGTTTCACTTGAGGGTGCTCTTTGTCCATATTCAGGGCCCACGTGGCTTCCCTGGACCCCCTGGACCTCCTGGTGTCCCAGGCCTGCCCGGCGAGCCTGGCCGCTTTGGGGTGAACAGCACGGATGTCCCAGGACCTGCAGGCCTCCCTGGGGTGCCTGGGAGAGAAGGCCCCCCCGGGCGTCCTGGTCTTCCAGTAAGTGCTGCTCTCCTCCCCGGGCCCATCCAGCATGAACCCCCCCACCTGTCCTCTCTCTAGACTCCCTCCTGCCACTCCCTCACCACCCAAACCCTCCTACATCCTTGAAGGGAGGAGTCTCTGTCCACCAGAGGACTGCAGGTGGGTCAGTGGACCTCACAGGGCCTCCTTGCTGATAAGGTAACAGATGGTGGTGAAGGAGGAAGGATCATAAATGATGGTGCTCTCAGATCTTCACCATGGGCCTCTGTATAGAAAGATACACAAGAAGATGTTGCATTGGACTGATTCATCATTTTAGGGAACTTTAGAGACCTTCCTCACTGCCCAGACCCTCAGGGCACACAGAGGACCCAGCAGGTACCTCAACAGCAATTACTGTCATCAAGTCCCATGCCTCCAGTTGCCAGGGTCCTCATTCAAACCTATAGTTCATGAACGCACACAGACCCATTCAAGCAACTGCCCACATCCCTAGCCCTGTGGACGTACCTCCTTGTCGGGTTCAACTTGCACAGAAGCGCTTCACACACCCAGCTGGGCTCTCCTGGCACAAACCCTCAATGGATCAGCCTCTCTGAGTGGAGTTTTTAAGTTAGAGAACATGCCTGGTTTGTGTTTCACCTGCTACCAGACTGCCTTCTAGAGGACGTGGGGCCTCAGCACCCACTTGCCTTCCCAGCATAAGGCAGGCCCATCTCATCTCCCCCAGTAAAACAGCAAGATAAGAAACAGCAGGCAGCCTGAGCCACTCTTGACTTTGGATGGGGTCTCCTGTCAGCACTCGGGCTCCGGCCTGGGATCTGGGAGTGCACGGGATGTCCTGTATGTCCTTGCTTCTCTGAGAACATCTGTGGACATTGTCTACTAATCCATAATTTGTTTTCTAACAACTCTGCTTTTATCTTCTCCCAGGGACCCCCAGGCCCTCCAGGAAAAGAAGGACAGCGAGGAGAGAATGGCCAGAAAGGAAGCCTCGTAAGTCAGCCCACAGATGCCCAGGGGTCCCTGCACAGTGCCATGTGGCAGATGCTCTTCCTGAGAGGTTTTGGGACCTGACAAGGTGATGTTTTGAAGGAGAAACGCCCCAGGATGCCAACACTCAAGGCTGAGGCTTAGGGTGATTTTCCTCCAAAAGCAGCTACTGTTGACAGGACCATCACCCATCGGCCCAAGGGCTTCGAACACCTGAGACTTCTATGAAACTAGGGGCAGCTGGAGCTCAAGCAGAACTCCCCATCAGTTGCCTTTTATTGACCCTTCACTCATACAACCTATGTGTGTTAGAGTCGAATAGCACACTGTAGGGTTTGCAGTGGCTGATTCTTCAGAAGTTGGTTGCCAGTCCTTTCTTCCAATGTGCCTCTGGGTGGACGCCCACCTCCAGCCTTTGGGATGGCAGCCGAGCAGAGTCACCATTTGCACTACCCAGAGAGCTGTTTAAAAATTTAGGACCACAAAATTACTAGTGGGTTTTTTTTTCCATGACAAAATAAGACTAACCTGGATTTTGAATGGTATTGACATTTCACTTGATTTGAAAATTTGTATCATGTTTCAAACTACACCACTAAGGAGGAACTTTTCAAGAGGCTGCTTTGGCCATTTTATCATCAGCTACAGTTCCTGTGGGTTTTCTGTGGCTGCGCCAAAGGCAGACACATGTGACCAATGGAGATGATTCTGAATTTTCCTCTGAACTTGAATGGAAACCAATTTATTTATGGCTGAGCAGAGAGAACCCAGCCATCCCTCCAGTGATTCACTTGTAAGATCATCTGGAGACAATCAAATTAAGAGAATGAACTGATTTGGGCCAAGTGTGGCCTGTTTCACCCTGTGCCAGAGGGTGTTTGCCAGGCCAAACAGCTTGGGATCTGGCACAAAGGGCCACTGTGACCAGCTCCACATGAGCCCCATGTCTACTAGTCATATCCCCAGCAGCCAGGATTATAGCCCAGAGACTGGGATGTGTCCCTGCCTCTCCAGGGGCCCTGTCCTAATGCAGGAGGGGTTGAAATGAGGCACACACATTACATTGGTGTCTTCAGGGGCCTCCATCTCCTTCTCTCTCCTTTCTAGAGAGAAATCCCACACTGCAACAGAATGACTCACAAACCAGGGCCACTGGGTCAGAGCAGATAGTGAATCATTAACTTTGCTGCTGCCTTGTTCAGTGTATGGTTTGTTATATTCACTCCTCTGTCTTGTTCCACAGGGTGAAGTGGGTGCCCCAGGACCTAAGGTACATAAACCACCCTTACGTCTGTCTGGTCAGCTGGGTGAGTGGAGCACTATCCACCATTGTGAGGGAGCACGACACTTCCTCTGCATGCCTGTTTCCGCTCTGGGTTCTATTTGCTATTGAGTTGGCTGCAGCTAATGGTGATCCCCAAACCCCTGTCCTGCAATTCCAAGTGTTTTCTAGTGTTAGGGGCTCATCTTCTGGCGCCATTCTGGACAGTATTCTTTTGTGATTCATAAGATTTTCACTGGCTCATTTTCAGATGTAGGTAACATTGCCTTTATGTGTAGCTTGTATTGGTCTGGAAGCTTCTCTGAAACCAGTCCACCACAGTGGCACAGCAGTGGCATAGCTCTGGTATCACAGCAGCACGGAAGGCCCCACAGCACAGCTAGAAGATGGACGGAGAGGTGACTCCTGGGCTTGGGACTGCTCATCAAATAAGGCTAGAGGTGTTCTGGTACAAGAAAGGAGCATCAGCAGCTTGGTGGAAACGCATTCCCCAGGGAGCTTCCTGAGGGGGGCTGTGAGCCTGCTCTCGGTGGTGCCACCCCAGGGGCTGCGGTCCCAGCAGTTTCCTCTCTTTCACACAAGAGGGTGATCCAGGAGTGCTGGTGCTGGCTTGGCCCAGCTAACAGAGGCTGGAGCCACATTGTGGGTTTTATACTGAGGTCATTCAACAGCCGGTGCCTGGGAGAGAAATATTTCAAACTACCTTGGTTAATGGCTTTGGGAATATTTTCTTAGAGGCTCTGTCTTGCCTGAGGGCTAGAGGTGGGCCAGATCAGACTCCGCCAGACCAGAGGCTGCATGTTTGCCTTGCCTCTGACTCTAGGCTGTCCAAAATCAAAGACTGGCCTAAAGGACCTGGACCTTCCCTAGACACACGCCTGGGGTTCAGGGCCACTTCCTGACCAGAGCAGATGACTTATCAGTGCTGAGTCAGGCAGAGGGTGGAGGGGCCACCTGGAGACTGGGGACTTCCAGCACAGTGGGGAGCTGTGATCCCCACTACAAACAGGCTGAGAGAAGTCCCCTCAAGACTCCAGCCCCACTCAAGTCAAAACTGTGGATGCCACTGATTTCCCTCGGGCTGGGAACTGGAGGGTGGATGCAAGCCAGAGACGTCCACAGCAAGGCAGAGGCGCCGTCTGCCGGGGAATCTGCCCCGCAGTGATGCAGACTCCGGGCTGGGGCCACAGGGTGAATCTTCGTTGAGACAGATGTCATTGAGTGAAGGAAGGAATAGGAACTAAAAAAGGGGCTTGTGTGTTACAGAAAGCCCAAAAGAGAGACCAGAAAGTGGATTATGCTTAAAGGAAGTGTGTACGTGTGTTGCTGTTAGTTGCCCTCAGATCTGTTCCGTCCGACTCGTGTTGTGCTACAGAGTAAACTGCTCCATTGGGCTTTCTCCGCTGTAGTCTAGTAGAAGGAGATCACTAGGTCTGTCTTCCTCAGAACCTCTGACGAGGTTCAAACCACCAACCTTAAGGTTAGCAGGCTAGTGAAAAGCATTTCAGCTGCCTAGAGAGGTCTGGTGGCTTCATGGTGAGGGGTTTGAGCCCACCAGCTGCTCTGCAGGAGAACAACGGGCATTGCCCTGCTGTACTGTTTACAGCCTCTGAAACCCGCTGGAGGATCAGCTATGAGTTGTTTCCAATTCAACAGCAATGATTTTATTCATTTTTGCTTTTTTTAAGTTAAGTTTATATATATGTATAAAAATACATGTGTACATACATGTGTTTATACAGATACACACACATGCATAAGGAGCTCTGGTGGCCGAGTGGCAAGAAGCGGTGCTGCAATTCCCAAGGCACATGGTTTGAATCCACCAGCTGCTCCACAGGAGAAGGACAGGCAGTCTCCTCCTGTCAATTAACTGCTTCTTAAAACCCACCGGAGGGTCAGCTATGGGTCGCTTCTGACTCAGTGGTACTCAACAGCAACATCAACAACCTTAATAAAATGAGCACTTGAGCAAATCTGGTGACAACATGTTTAAGGTGATAGCAATCTGGTAAAGTGGACAGGAACGAGGAATAAAGTAATAGGAAACATCCCCCATCCACCCACAATGATTGTGGTAAAAGGATGAACAATATTTCCAGAGGTGGAGGCCATATCAGTAGGTAGCAAATGTGCATGCAGGGTGAGGCGACCCCTTTCCACTGGGGGAGGGGACAATAGAATGTAGGGCAGACCCTGTGTCTGAGTGCGGGCTGTGGGGAGGTGGCACCTGCAGCCCTGTGCAATCATGTGGCCTTTCTCCCATGGACTGAATTCATGGCAGTGACTGGCAGGGCCTCTTTGTGCCCTAGTTGTGTACCTGCTCATCTCAAGATTCCATTTCTTGTTCCCCTGAAGCCAGGAGAACACTGGGATCATTCCCATTTTGTAGAAAGGGACACAGAGGCTTGAAGTGGTTCAGTGCCCTTGCTGGGACAGAGCAAGGCTTGTGTGTGACTAACTCTGCACTTGAGATATTTGCATAGCCCTCTCAGCCCTTCAAAACACCTCAAACCAGTTCCTGCTGAGCACTGGTCACTCCCACTCTGCGATGGGCAGGGCCAGTGTGCGACAGACATGCTCCTGTACTGGTCTTGACTCCACTTTCTCCTCAGGATCCTGTGGACTGAGATCAGAGGGTGCATTGTGACCACTGGGCAGTACCAGTGGTCCAGGGCACTGAGGCTGATCCTCAGCCCTGACTCTCTAAGCTTCCCTCTCTTCTCTCCTCCTCCTCCTTCCAGAGCTGCACCCTTCCTCACTCACCTCAGCTCCTCTTTGTTCTCTCACCACCACCTGCCAGGGGCATAGGCGGAGGTAATGCGGCCTCGGGCAGCATGCTTGCCCTGTGAATGGCGTGCCTTTGGGCTAAACGCTGAGGCATGTATCTGTGTTTTGTATCTGAGTGAATGCAGTTACCTCATAAATCAGCAGGACAAGATAGTCCAGGTGTGCCTTGCTTTGTGGAATGTTCAATACCCATCTGTGCATTTTCAGATGTATTTTAACCATAAGTGAAGGCTAGGGTACCATGACTGGCATTGAGTTCAGTTGAAACCTTAAGAACAGAGAGTCACCTGCTCCCTCCTCCCTATCTGCAGGGAGATCAGGGAGAGCCTGGCCCCATTGGTGCTCCTGGGAAGAATGGTGTGGCAGGAGCCCCTGGACCAGCTGGACCTCAAGGACCCCCAGGGCCCCCTGGGCCGCCTGGGCCCCCTGGACCAGGATTTGCAGCAGGATTTGTGAGTACCGGCCATTCTTGATGTGGTCACCTGGCTCTGCGCTTGCCCCGGTGGCCCCCTCCTATCTCGGGCATCTAATAAGCCAAGTGCACTTTCCAGGCACTGATTGCCGGCAGGGCCTCCTCCCATTCCCACTGTTTGTGTATGGACCACAGCCCTCCTCCACTGGCCATCCCATGACCATGGATCATATGCATGGACAGTACCCAGGACAGACCAGGAGGGGGCAGCCCTCTCCCTGCCTCCCTCTTTGCCTCCCATAAGGGAAGAACCTGGGTGCTGGTCCTGCTCCTGCCCGTTTGTTGGAGACTCTGCATTTTCTCCAGAAGGGACCTACAGCCCGTCCTGAGCACACCCTATACACTCACCTAAAGCAGGAGTGAATATACTACATCTGGGAGAACCAGGGGGGTCCTAGCAGGTCCTTCTATCAACAGCACCTCAAGATACTATCCTCACCAACTCCAAGGCTGCTCTTTATCCTTAGAGCATCCTTTAAGGAGAAAAGCAGCCCTGAGTGTCTGTCTCTCCTATGTTTTCCCTCTAGGACGACATGGAAGGTTCTGGAATGCCCTTCTGGTCAACATCTGGAGGCTCCGTTGGGCCGCAGGTATAACCTATGGACAAGTCCGTTGGTATCCAGAGGCTTGTAGATGAAGTCAAGTCATTAGATTTCTCTTGTGGCTCTAATTTTAGAAATAGTATTGTTTGACTCAAGTGAGGTTCAAACTGGACAGAAATCGGGGCATTGCTGTGAGCCCCCTCTAGGGTCTGCACAGCACAGGCAGGGCCAGGCTCTGTAGGGATGACCGTGGTTGAGATTCCTAAACCAAGTTGGGGGCCTGATGTTCCCCCATGCCTCACCAGGTGGTAATGCCCTAAAGCCGCAGCAGAGCAGTTGAGGTAGGGAGATGGGAGTGTGGAGAGGATGGGAGGGATGGCTGCTTCTCAGGGGCCCAGATCAAGGCACCACCTGCCAAATACAGTACTCATGGTACCAGAGTCGTGTACCGTAGACCTGGGCACTGGGAGCTGCAGAGCCAGTCTTCATCCCCCAAGAACTGTGTCTGAGGGCAGTGCATGGTTGGGACATCCCCTTTAGTGTGAGCAAGATGAATGAGAACAATTAATTAGGTAGAACCAGATCCCATAGCAGGGTGATCATTTCACACTTTCAAATTTCCCCCCCTCATATGTTGGGAGGGACAGCACAGGAGTGGAAGACCCTTGATGAGGTGGATTGGTTCAGTGACGGGGTAATGGGGGTAGGTATGTTAGAGACAGTGAGATTGGCACAGGATAGAGCAAGGTTTAGGGCTCTTGTACATAGGGTCGTTATGAGTTGCAGGCAACTCGATAGCACATAGCAATATATATTGGGGGAAAATGTCTACTTTTTTGTTAGTAGTACTTAGCAGCATTCACGTAAGATGAGCAAATGTGAACCACGTATGGCAGGACTGTTGTTCAGACAGGGGTGGGGATGAGCGCATGGTCAGTGGTGTGGGGTGGAGGTTGTGGAGTACAGCCCTCTGATTTTGGTGAACAGCTCTAATGGCGTCAGTTTCTGGAGGGGAAACAGTGAGGCTGTTTCCTGATCATGAACATGACTTGAAAATTGAAAGACCGTTTCAAGATCAGCTCTGAGAGCCACAGCTGGCCAAAGCCCAACACGACCACCTCACAGCGCTGGGATGGCTCAAGGACAGCACTCACGTGGTTGTAGGGATGTGTTTGTTCATGTTTTGAGTTAACTAAAATGCACCTGTGGAGGTCCTCAGGATCACCCACGTGATCTGGAGACATGATGAGGTGTCAGCCCACTGAGGTACTGAGCCCAGTGTGCCAACTGGCCTTGTGAAGCCCATGCACCCTGAGGCAGAGCTGAGGACAGCCACCACTTGGAGGTCTTCATGGGCCTCAGTCTGGGGCTTAAGTGTTCTTCAACCCTCACAGCAGGGCCCTAATGCCACTCTTCCTTCTCTGTCAACAGGGAACGATCGGCCTGCCAGGACTCAAGGTCAGTGAGGCTTAACTGGGGCCCACCTCCCACCTAACCTCCACCCGACAGCCCACCATGATTCCTGACCCCAAGAACTTTGCAAATGATGGAGAAGCCTAGAAGGGAAATAAAGCTGTGTGAGACTCCTCCCTGAACATTACACAGCTAAAGTGGGTGGCTTTAGCCCACCTGTTAAGGCACCATGAACAGAGTCCTCCCTGGTTTCCAGCTCTGCAGTGCATTTGCACTTGAGCAGAAAGATGATCTAAGAAGGAACCCATGTCAGACTCCCACACCTCCCATCAGCCTCAGGGACAGCGAGGTCCCTGCTTGGAGCAGTGAAGCTGGCTTTTCCCAAATAGTGGTGACCATCACTCTCAGGCCTCATACCTGGAGGACAAGAGCCCACTCCCCTTGTCTGCACTGCAGACCCCATTCTTCTTTGTGATGCATGCCCAGCAGGATGTAGGCAGGAGGGCCCAAAGTGAGATACCTTGGGGCTGAGTGTAGGGTGGGAATAGCAGAATGGTCACGATGTTGCAAGGCACATGACTTTCAGAACAGTCCAGACCATGTGCCCATTAGCATGTGACATACTGACGTTTTGCAAAAGAGGCCTCAGGTGCCCTTTGCATCAGCTGTTCTATGTCTCTAGGCTTGAGCTCTGGAGTTCTAGAAGGGGCCTCTGCTCATGGCTCCCGAAGGAGTGGAAGGCTTGTGAGATGTCACCTGTGGGGGAGCAGGGGAGTACATGGGGGTGCTACTTGGGAGTGGCCCAGTACATGTACTGCACTCAGAGCCCTTCATCTGTTTTAGGGAGATCCTGGAATGGCTGGGCCACCTGGAGTCAAGGTGAGAGCCTTTCCTCGGACTCAAAAGCATGATAAGCCCCAGTCCAACAGTGAGGGAATGGGCTGCAGCTCCTTCAGTAGCTCAGCCCCATTGCCTGCTCTATGTACATGAGGTGACATAGGCATGTCGCAAGTGTCCAGTCAGACCCCAAAGCCAGAGCAAGGACTGCACAAATAGTGCTCCCGTCAGGATGAAGTGTCACTCCCACTCATCGTCGTGAACCTTCTCAGCATCTTCTACCAAGACTTGTCTGTTTCACAGGCAGTCTCTCAGGGTCCCATTGTGCAGAGCCTTGTCCGCTCCTAGACTCTGCTCCACCCCTCCTCCGCTCTGCTGCTGCATCCTGAACTGACCAGCCCTCTGCCTGGTGCTGGCCTTCGCTGCTCATCTGCCTCTTCACCCGCCCCAGCCCCCATGGCCTGAACAAGTGGATGCTAGGACGAGGTCATCCTTAGCGGGCACCGTGGCTCTTCTTGAGAGCCTGTGTGACTGCAGCCATTTGCCTGAGCTGGGTTGCTTCTCACATTGGTTCCAGGGTGAAGTAGGACAGAATGGTGCTCCTGGATATCCTGGTGTCCCTGGAAAAGATGGTGCAGCTGGGCCGCAGGTGAGCGGGACTTCTAGTAGATCGCCTGGAATGCGTATGGGGTCCTCTCTACTGACCCTGTCCTGGGAGCCCCCAGAGAGAATACAGCTCCTACAGATTGACACAAAGATGACAGCTGACACCCAGGCCCCTCCCAGGCCCCCAGGAGCTTGGTCCTCCATCTGATGTATCCTTGGAACTTCTGCAATCATCAAGCGGCCAACTCATTCAACTTGGCTCTTGTTTCTGTTCATGATAAATTCTCTTCTTCCCATCTTCTGTAGGGACCAAAAGGAGATAAAGGGAGTCAAGGAGAAAAGGTAAGAGAGTACAGTGAGGGCGTATCTTCTTGGGATGGGAGCAGAAGGTGTTCTCTGTCCACATACCCTGCCACAAGTGGCCTCAGTAACTCAAGGATGAGGATTCCTCCAGTTGGAAGTGGTGTCTGTCAGTGCTGGGGTACATGTGTCCCCTTTCAGACTCTACCCTGCAAGTGGAGGGCCCCTGAGGACTGGGGCTATAGAGTATGTGGGTTTCCTCTTGGAGACTATTCTCTAAGCAGGAGAGCTCTGAGGTCAGGGATATGGAGTATAGTGGTCTCTAGGGACTTGAGGTAGGTGTCCCTGCTCAGAATCTTTCCTCTCTGGCAGAGGGGACCCTAAGGCTACTAATCTGAGCCCCCAGGTGCCACCTCATACCCTGTGGTCTTTAGGGTACTAGCTGGAGTATCCATGACAGGTCACCCTTCACAGAAAACAAAGAGCTAAAGATGAGGCATTCTCTTTCAGGGTGACCCAGGCAAGGATGGCGTGGGGAAGCCTGGCCTTCCAGGACCCCCGGGACCCCCAGGACCTGTGGTCTACATGTCGGTGGAGCAGGACGTAAGGACAATGTGTGGGCAGGCATTCTTCCTGCTCAGACTTTCACCCCTACAGCTTAATTTGCACCTATATCAGGCAGATCCCCAAACTCTTGGGGATTAAGGGCCACCAGTATTGGCCTTACTCTATGGACTGACCCCCAAAGATGCTTGGTGCCCTAGTTTCCCATCCTGTTGGTTCTATTCAGAATGAATAACTGGCCTTCTTCTGGCAAGACTTTAAGAAAAGGAAAAAAGATAAGGTTGGGAGACCAGGCATTTGCAGGAATTCCCCAGCAGGGAAGAAGTTAAAATGGAAAGTCCATATTAGGGAGTCTGAGAAACCATCATGCCCCAAGTATCCAGTGTGGACATGTGGTCCTGTATTTTAAGGACCAGGCAGCACAGACCACTTGGTGCTCCCATCACACATATCAGGTGTGTCCTCAGAGCCAGCCTGACCCTCAGTGGTTCCCATGTGGTGAAGATGGACCCTTCCCTCTCTTTGTAAATACTTCTTGTCTGGTTAGTGTGTGCACATACATAGCAATAATAATGGAAACATTACATCCAAAGATGGTCCCAGAGAGCCAAGATAGGCACTGCAGTTGAGGGTCTTCATCCAAAGACGTTGTTGTTAAGTGCTGTTGAGTTGCACATGACTCATAGTGACCCTATGGACAAAAAACCTGAGCCCCATTCTATAACTATCATTGTTTTGCTCCATTCATAGAGTTTTCAGAAGCATGTCGTTTAGAAAGTGTATGCCACTCCTGCTTCCAAGCTTGTCTTGGTCTATGAGCTCTGCCTAACACTCTCCACTATGGGCAACCAATATGGCATGTGACACCGCATTAAGCGTCACAGCAACCCCAAGTTACCGTAGTACAGCAGATTGACAGACCAGTGCTGTACCACTTAGAAGAATGTTCATCCCAAACACAGTTAAGATCAATCAACTCACACGTGATTGTGAACCAAAAAAACCCAACAAAACAAACCCAAGCAGTCCACACCTGAACCTCAAACAAAACAAGAGAACCCACCTTCCAGAATCCAGGTTTCACATATGAGCCTCCAAACTGGAGACTTAGCTGGGGCCCAGCCAACTTTTTAAATACAAAGGCCCACCCACCAGGTCCTGGTTGACTCTAAACAAGAGCCTTCCAGCCTACAGCTCATTGTTAGCTAAATCCAGCAAATCAAATCAGCTCACACACAATTATGAACAAAAAAAAAAACCATAAAACAACCACTCCACACCCAGTGCTCAACCAAAACAAGAGATACCACCTTACAGATCATGCCCTTAATCCTATAACTTGTAACCCAAAAAATGTTGATAGCCAATCATCAGAAAAGGTAAAACCAAACAAAAGTTGGTTCTTTGGTGAAGACCTCTCAGGTTCCAGAACATTCCTCTGTCCTGGAGACCCTTTAGGGTTTTCTTTAGGGTTTCTCAGCTACCCTACCATTGCCTAGAAGCCCTGAAGATGCCTGCTGGTACAATGTTGCATTTGAGTATGTCACCCCACCTCCAGTGCCCTATAAATGCAGGTCCTGCCCAGGGATCCCTAGACAAGCTCAAAAAGCCAGAAAGATTTGTGAAAGCAAAGTTTTCTTTGTGAATTTAGTTTGGGATATTGTTCTCTTGGTGCTCCTGGGGGAAACACAATGAGGGCTGGATTTTCATTTTCTTTCTCATTTTCATTTGTATATTCTCGTGACTTGCTGACAGAAGGCGATAACAAGTGTGCCGGGACTCGAGGTATGAGCAGTCCTTGTTCCTACGGAATATGCCCTTGACTTGGCAGGGCTGGTGTTTGTGGGGTGTGTGGTGCCAGGTTGACCCCACAGTTGATGAGTCCGTCATCTTCCCTGCAGGGCAGGCCGGGGTATGCGGGCCTCCCCGTAAGTAGTCTTGAGCTCTCACTGTGGGCCAGATCCTGTGCTGGGACTGCAGTGGGAGGGAGGTGGTCCTCTATAGATGGTGGGGGATGCCCATGGGGTGCTCCACTCCTGCCTGACTTCCTTTGTAGGGACCGGCTGGCCCAAAGGGTGACTTGGGCTCCAGAGGTGAGCCTGGCTTCCCAGGGCAGAAGGTGAGGACATAGGGCCCCTCTCTTCAGGGTTCCCCCATGAAGACTCTCTTTGAGATCCCTCCACAGGACTCCTTTCTTTGGGTCCTCCCATGGGGTAGGGCCTGGACATACTTTAGTGGGGAGTCTTGGGGAGCCCCCACAGTGTCCAGTGGTGTTATATCTACCAAGTTTTGACTGGCTGTGGTGGCTGATTGTATTCCTGCATTCTCTCTACAAAGACCACCTCTTGCTGAGCCTCTTTTTGGCGAGATCTTCCCAGTTGGGCCCTAATTTGGGGCTTTCCCTAGCTAGGGGTGAAGGCTACTTGGAAAGAGTGGTTGACCCTAGCTGGGACTATCTGCCTTTCCAGGGTGAGAAGGGTGAGCCTGGCACCATCTTCAACCCTGACGGCACCGTCTTGACCCCTGCCCAGAAAGGAGCCAAGGTGAGGGCAAAAGGCATGGAGTCTGGGGCCATGGACACAGCTCTGAGGGGTGTCCTCCTGAGAGAGGCTGATGACTGCTGAGGAGAGCCATCTTTGGTGTGCATCAGGATCTGCAGAGAGCCTCCCTGCATGCCCCTTCTGTGCCCTGGATCTAACCCATCCTAGTAGGTGACCATATAGCCAGGGTCGTAGAGAGGGTCTGAGAGGAGCTGGACCCAAGCTCATAGCTGTGATGGCAGACTAGCAGGCCTAAGAGCAAAGTGGAACCCTGAACTGCAAGTGGTCATGGGGCCCTGTACCCACCCCCACAAGTTAACTCTGTTGCTGCCTGGCTTTGCTTCAGAGATCTAGACTCACATGAATCAGGAAGGGCCCCGCACTGCCATGCAGCTCCAGAGAGCACACAGGCCAGGCCCCTCCAGCACCTAGCAGAGTCTAGACAGCAGGACTTCAGGACCACCATGCTCATGTGCTGACCAAACCCAAAACCCAGCTCACAACCTTCTTCCCTTTCAGTGCCTGCCTCCCCAGCAGCAGTGTAGCCACAGCCACACTGACTCAACCTCTTGCTTATTTCTCTTCAGGGCGAGCCAGGCTTCCGAGGACCTCCGGTGAGTTTGAGCTGACATGCCTCAAGCATCTCAGGGACACTGGGCAGTCATGGTCATGACCTGTGGCTTGATGATGTAGACAGGCCACAGAGCAGCATAATAGCACACCAAGGTCAACACACTGGAGGTGCTGCCATGCAGAGACTTTAGGGCTAAGGGATAGAGGGCATGCTCTAGAACCTTCTGTGGCCCCAAGCCAGCCCTCTCCAACTTGCATCTGAACCAAGGACCCTGTGTTCCTGGGGTGAGGACTGAGCTCATGTCGGTTCTCTGCACACCCTGGTATGAATGCACGTTTACACACAGGCTGAACCGCACTAGGCAGGACTGAGGGCGCTGCTGTGTTCCTGTGCAGAAAGCCCTGTGAAATGCTAGAAGGGGTCCAGCTGAGTTGGCTGAGAGGGAGAGGGGGCTCTGGGACCTGTACCCCAGCTCCCCTCAGTGTGACTCCCCTTCTGACTACAAGTGTCCTCTGCTTCGTAGGGCCCCTACGGACGACCTGGGCATAAGGGCGAGATTGGCTTTCCTGGGCGGCCGGTGAGGATTCCAAGGACTGGGGCAGGGGCTCTGGGGTCGGGACCCCTGGGAGGCTGCAGGGATGATGCTGAGACTGAAGAGGGCAGGGGGGTGTCACACTACTCAACTGTTCTGTCTGTGCCTCAGGGCCGCCCAGGGATGAACGGTCTAAAGGGAGAGAAAGGGGAGCCTGGCAGTGCTGGTGCTGGATTAATGCAGGTAAGGACCCTGGGGACCAGGAGTGTCACAAACACTGGAGACTAGGAGGGTCCACCCATGCAGACACACCTCACTAGAGCCCAATCCGAGGGGCCCTGCAGCTACACTCACTTCATACAGCTCCTCTGACATAGTCACAAACACACACAGCACTTATAAACATGTTCATTAAGGCAAACATCATACACACACCCACACAACTTAGGGCTCATGCATGAGCTTTTTAAAATCTCAAATGTGAGGCCATTCACGCACTGCAGCTTATCTGCCCAAGACCAGCCCTGTCCCAGGTCAGCCAGATTCCTTATAATTCAGACAGTGTTGCATGTCCCCACCTCTGTGGAAATACAAAAGGGACAGTGCTTTTCCTTATAGGGGTTCAGGGTCATGAGCAATCTGGGTACAGTTAGTATCACCAGCTCATTGAGTTTGTAACCTCACAGTGATGTGCAGAGATGCTCTTACCTGTCTCTTCTCATTGCGGTGCCCAGGGTTGTGCACTGCTGATCAGTCCTTTACCTCCCCACAGTGTCCACCTGGACCCCCAGGCCCTCCAGGGCTCCCAGGCCCTCCTGGAATGCCTGTCTACGACAGCAACGTAAGTGTCCAGGCTCCCAGAGTCCCTGCCACTCTCATACTCCCCGCCCCTTTGACTCCTTACAGAGAATCTCAGGGAAACTTCAGATCTCCTTTCCTTCCTACTGGGGAGGTCGGTGCAGGTGGGCATCCATCAACCTGGGTTCTAGGGTGTGTCTGAGATAGGCAAGCTGAGTGTGAAGTTCATTCTTTGATCAGGTATGTGTCCCCAACCCCCCCAAGAAGACCCTTCAGGCCCCACCTAATTTTGGAGGCTGCCCTGAGGGGCACTTACTAGCTAAGTCCCACAGTGAGGGGACTTTCTAGGCTGTGGGGCACCCCTCCATTCAGGCACTGCTGAATGCTTGATCCCCATGGCACTGGGAAATAGGCAGGATCCTCATTTCACAGATTCCAAAACTGAGCTTTTGGAGAAATGAAGCAAACTGACTCCTAGGAATTTTCCCTCCATGCCCCTGTGGCCTTGTCTGTGCAGAGGGTCAGATGCCTGTGTAGTCTTACAGAGGGTCTTGGGAGATCCTTCTGGGCTCAGGGAACCCCTAGCGGGCAGTAACCTTAATCTTCATAGTGCCGCTCCCTCTGTGCTCACATGGCCCCTTCCTCTGCAGGCATTTGCCAACTCCGGCCGCCCAGGGCCTCCGGGATTGCCAGGTAAGGATGCCTGGGGAGCAGCATGTACCTTTAGGCCACAGGCAGGAAGTTGGAGTGGCAATGAGTCCCTCTGCCCTGCAGCACAGCTGGCAGCTAGAGGCAGTAGGGTACCACCATCTTTTGCAGAGATGGAGTGAAATTGATACCAGGCGTAGGGATTACTTTAGAGATCCTGGGCATTCCCATCCCTGGGCCCCCCCATGCAATCCGGATACCCAGTCCTCACTGACTCGCATCCCTCTTCCTGCCTGGCTCTTCTGCTCTGTCCAGCTCTCAGACAGTCCATTCCATAGGTGGAGTGCTCGCTGGATTGAGCACCTGTTATCTTGAGTTCAGACTCTGCTCCTGTCCGAGCATGGGCAGAAGGGCCTGATCCTTGCTGTTCTTGGTACAGGTCCCCTCTGCCGGGGTGTGAGGGTTTCCTGGGGGATCCCTGTGGGACATGTACTTCTGCCATTCTCAAGCTTTGTTCTGACTGTCCCCACCACCTAACATCCCCTTCCTGGTGTAGGCCCAGCCACTGGGAGTAGAGGGTAGAACAGAACACTGTCCCACAGCCCTGACAGTCGCTTTTAGTAAAGGGCTTCATCTCCTTTCCCTAAGGGTTCCAGGGACCTTCTGGACCAAAAGGCGACAAAGGAGAAGTGGGCCCCCCTGGACCCCCAGGTACGAGAGCTCCAGGTGCTCCAGCTAAAGGAGATGGACGGCACCTGCCCTCAAAGTGGGGGTCACTGTTGCATACTTCCTTGATTACAGAACCCTTCCCTGCATGGTGACAGGGCTGGTGAGCTGCATTGCTCTGCATGAGGCCCAGATCTCAGGGGGGAGCCTGTGCCCTGGGCTCAGGGCCTTGACTCTCTTCCTGGTAGGATGCACCCCCTCACTATAGAACAGGGTGGCTCCCTTCTTTGTACCTCCCAGAGGCGGGCAGGTAGGTAGGATGTCACACCCCTCCCCCCCAAACGCTATGGAGCAGGGTGGCTCCCTTCCTCTTCACACCTCCCAGAGATGGGCAGGCATGCAGAGGGTCAGTGGTGGTCCTGAGGTGCCCCACCCCTCCCAGCACTGCATCTCACATTCCGGACTTGGGTGAGATTCCCAGCAGATGAGATACACCAGAAGAGAAAATAGGGGAGCTAAATTGGTGATGGGAACAGAACCTCTGATGGCCAGAAGACTTGTACAAGAGAGAGTGCCCTGGAGAGAGGCAGCATGCAGAGACATAACAGCTAACAACGTGAAAATTGACAAAAGATCCAGAAAGCGTCGTTTAAATGCAAAGCTTCCACAATAAAGCCGACATAGGGCTCCTCAACAAAAGTGAGAGTTAGCCAGAAGACCATAAAGTGATTTTTAAAAGTTGAAAGAAGTCTCTAATTTAGGATCACACAGCCAATGAAAACGTCATTCAAAAAGAGGGTGGGATGGTGGCGTGAAATGAAGGCACCAGAGCTCAGCCCTCCGTGGCCAGCGAGGGACTCCAGGCAATAGGACGGATGCTAATGCAAGTACAGAGATGCTGGAAGGAAGGAGGAGCAGAAGAAGGACAACTTGAGCCAGCAGGGCCCACCTCCACCCCCTGCCCATGGCCTGTGGGTAGTGAGAGAAGTCGCAGCCCCCTGGGCCCTCACTGTCAGGGAGGCAGTGAGAGTGCTTGCTGACTTACACGGTCGCACTTTAGAGTCAAGGATGCACGTTATGATCATAAAATAAGCCAAGAACAGGAAAAGAATGTCCCACCAGTAACCTAATGTACTGAAGGGAATAAAAAATATTAAACCTTTTGGCCTTAAAAAAAGGTAAAGAAGGACAGAAAAAGGAGGTAAAAATTACCCAAAACACAAAACCCTGGTGATGTAAATAAATAGTAGTAAGTTATTAGATGTACTGTAAGATATGGAAGACTAGAATTGAGAACATATTCTTGTTAAGGGACTAACTGTCCAGCAAAATGAAAACAAAACTACATTCTACTTTTAGAGACATTTTAAACATGAGAATTCAAAAGCTGAAGGTGAAAGGAAGGAGAAAATGTGCTAATAAGAAGAGTTGACAGATTGTTTAAGTGTGACTGCAAGTGTGATGATGGTGTGTATCTGTGAGAGTATGCAGTGTAATCTGTGCGAATAGATGTATGTCTGAGTGCGTAGGGGTGGGTGTGTTTGTGTGTGTGTGAGAGAGAGAGAAACTGAAGTATATCTTAAGGCAAGAAACATTGCCATAAATGAAGAAGGAATTTTCGTAGGGAAATATAGTTAGCAGGGTTACTGTGTCAGTCCATCTCATCTGGGGTTGTCTTCTCCTGCACTGACCCTCCACTCTTCCAAGCATGATGTCCTCCTCCAAGGACTAGTCCCTCCTGGGAGCATGTCCAAAGTGTATGAGATGGAGCTTCAAAATCCTTGCCTCCAAAGAGCAGCCTGGTTTCACACTCTAGGATAAACCTGTTTGTTCTCTTGGCAGTCCATGATATGCTCAATACTCCTCCAGCACCACAACATCAATTATTCTTCTGTTATCTTTGGTCATTGTCTAGCTCTCTGATGCATAGCAAGTAATTGTGAAGGCCATGGCCTAAAACCGCCATACATTTGTCTCTAGACTAACACTTGCTTTTTAGTGCTTTTGAGAGGTCCCTGACAGCAGCAAATTTCCCTATTGTAATTCATCTTTTGATTTCCTGACTGCTGGTGCCAAGAGTGTTGATTGTGGAGTTGAACAAGCTGAAATTGTTAACAATTTCAGTCTCTTCTCCATCTATCATGGTGCTGCCAGTTGGCCCAGTGGTGAGATTCTGTCTTTTTGATGTTGAGCTTCAATTCATATTGAAGACTGCAGTCCTTGATCCTCTGCAGGAAATGCTTCAGGTCCTCTTTAGTTTCAGTGAGCAAGTTTGTGTTATCTGCATAACGTAGGTTATTGATGTTGCTACAATCCTGATGCCACATTTCTCCTCATAGAGCCCAGCCTCCTAAGTTATCTATTCTATATACAGATTGAAAAGGTATGGAGACTGGATGCATCTTTGATGCACTCCTTTCCTGATTTTGAACCATGCAGTGTTTCCTTGCTCTGTTCTGGCCACTGTTTCCTGGTCCAAGTATAATTTTGGCATGAGCACAATCAGGTGTTCTGGGATTCCTGTTCTCTTCAAGCTTAGCCACAATTTGTTGTGATCCACACAGTCAAATACCTTTGCATAGTCAATGAAGCACAAACATTCCTTTAGTACTCTTTATTTTCAGCCAAGATGTCTCTGGTGCAAAGGCCTCTTCCAAATCTGGCCTGTATTTCTGGTAGTTGTCTATTGATGTACTGTTCCAGTCATTTTTGGATAATCTTCAGCAAGATTTTGTGTGCATGGGATATCAGTGATTTTGTGTGATGATTTCCCCACTCTGCTAGGTCACCCATTTTTTGAATGGAAACAAATATGGATCTCTTCCAGTCATTTGACCAAGTAGTTGTCCTTCAGATTTCTTGGCACAACTTGGTGAGCATGTCCAGGGTAGCATCTGTCTGTTGAAATATGTCAATTAGTATTCCATCAATTCCTGGGGCCTGATTTTTTTGCCAATTCTTTCCAAGCAGTCTGAACTTTCTCTTTCATCAACATTGTCTTTTGATATTATCTTGTTTCATGACATTCTTCTGTGTCAACCAATTCTTTTTTGGTACAGTGGCTCTGTGTACTCTTTTGTGATGCTTCCTGGGTCATTCCACATTCTGCCTTCAGCATCCTTAAGTATTGCAACTCTTCAGTTCAGTTCAGTTTATTCTTCAGTTCTTTCAGTTTAAGAAATGCTGGGCAAGTTAGGCCCTTTTGGTTTTCTGACTCAAGTTCTGCACATTACATTTTAATACTTTGTCTTCTAGTAGTGCCCTTTGAAATCTTCTGTTTAGCTTCTTAATTTCTCGATTCCTTCCATTTGCTTTTGCTTCTTGATTCTCCAGTGCAATATTCAGTCTCTACTGACATCCATCTCAGTCTTTTCTTCCTCCTCTGTCTTTTCAGTGACCTCTTGCTTTCTTCGTGAATGATATTCTTGATATCCACCCAATGCTCATCTACTTTGTTCAGTTAATGTTCAAGGCCTCAAACCTGTTCCTGAGTTGATTTTTAAATTCAGGTGAGATAGACTCAAGGTCAAATTTTGGTTCTTGTGGATTTGATTTCATTTTCTTTAGCTTTTATTTGAACTTATATATGAGTAATTGATGGTTTGTTCCACAGTGAGCACCTGGCCTAGTTTTCACAGCTGATATGGAACTTTTCCAGCAATTCTTTTCCCAGATGTAGTTTATCTGATTCCTGGAAATGTAGCAACTCTAAATTTCTGTATGCCTAATAGTATGGAATTGGGCCAATTGGCAGCTTCATGGTAGACAGAGAAGAGATTGTTGATAACTTCAGCTTGCTTGGTTTCACAGACAGGAAATCAGAAGACAAATTGCATTGGGAAAATCTGCTGTCAGGGATTTCTCCAGAGTACTGAAGAGCAATGATGTCAGTCTGGAGACTTAAGGTACACCTAATCCAGGCCATGATCTTTGCAGTAACTTGCTATACATCCTAGAGCTGTACAATAACTAAGGATGATGGAAGAAGGATTGATGCCTTTGAGTTGTGGTGCCGGAGAAGAGTGTTGAACATTTCGTGGACTGCCAAGAGAACATCAGGTGTGTCCTGGGGAGGGCAAAATCATGCAGCTCCCTTGGAGGAAAGGATTTTGAAGCTCTATCTCACATACTTTGGGCATGTGGCCAGGAGGAACCTGTCCTTGGAGAGGAGCATCATGCTTGGAAGGGTGGAGGGACAGTACAGGAGCGGAAGACCCAGAATGAGATGGATTGATTCAGTGAGTAGAGAAATGAGATTAGGTCTGTTGGAGATGATGAGATTGGCTCAGGATAGGGCAGAGTTAGAGCTAATGCACATAGCAACAACAATAGCATGAAATTGAGCTCTGGTGGCGTAGTCCATAGGGATTTGCAGTGCTAACCAATAGACTGTACCTTTCTGGTAGTTCAAATCCCCAGTGGTGCCAAGAAAGAAAGTTGGACAGTCTTGTTCTGTAAGATTAACAACCTCTCAGAAACCCACAGGAGTATCAGTTATGTGTCAGTTCTGACTTGATGGCAGTGAGCGATGAGTTTTGATTAAATGGAATTCCTGATGACCACTAAGGTTAAGCTCTCAACTTTGAAAGGCCAGAGGTTTGAATCTACCTAGCAGGGCCTCAGAAGAAAAGCCTAGTAATTTACTTCTGAAAAATCAGCTATTGAAAGCCCCGTGCAGCACAGTCCCATGCCAGCACATGAAGTCACCGTGAGCTGGGCTTGACTTCAATGCCAAGAAATGGTTTTGTTGTTGTTAAAATTATGTAGCCTCAGGATGAGGAAGCTCTGGTTGCCTAATGAGTTAAGGGATTGAGTTCCCAACCCAAAAGCAGGCAGTTTGGATCTACCGGCTCCGAGAGAGAAAAAAGATGGGCATTCTCCTCCAGTGTGGTCGACAGCCTTTGAAAACTGGCCGAGGGTCAGCTGAGAGTCAGTTACTAAACAGGACCTACCCACCTCAAGGTGATATGAAAGTAAGTTTGAGAAAACTAAAGAGAAATTACAGAAATCAGTAGTTTTAGAGAAAACTAACCCAGCTTTCTTCTTCTGATAGAAGTCACAGGAGATGGGCAGTCTGGGCAGCACACCCACAGACCCGTGTGCCCCCAATGCCTAGGGGTGCTCATTGCATTGCATTAAATGGAGCATTCCCCAGGTAGGCCAGCGCAGAAATAAAAACAAGCCTCCCCACAGGTCAAGGGACAAAATCCTACAAAATATTTTACTCACCACAGTGGGATCAATAGGAAGTCAACCTCCAAGAAACAGTGATAAAATGTCCACTGAGCACTGTACTTCCAAACAAAAGAAGTTAGAAATAAGTGAAGCTGAATGATCATGAAAATCTGAAGTATCAGTGAATGAGTGGTACAGCTTTAATTTTGGGACAAAAGCACAGAAAGACCTAGGGCACAAAGGGTGCGTGGCCTGGCAGTGCAAGTCCTGGCGGCAGACTGGGGGAACCACCTAGCTGAGATCTAGCTGTTGAACTACTGGTGTGGGTCACTTAGGGCGGCCTGAGGAGGACATGCTGCTGCACCCATTGGAACCCAAAGCTGGTTCCCACCCAGTAGCAGGCTGTCTGACATCAGCGGCCTATTCATCAGCAGTCTGTTTGACCAAAATTCCTGGTCGCTGGTTTTGCAGCTGACATCCCTCCATTGATTTTCAGGGAGCAGTTGAAGGGAGGGTCAGCAGGTTGACCGCCTGGGGAGGAGAAAAGGCTCTTAATCCCATGTTTACAAAACTGCAGCCTTCAACAGTGCTAAGAATCCAGAGCTACAAATCCAGCTCAAGAAGTTAGAAATGAACAGAAAACTTACCTTGAAGAAAATACATGAACAGCATATGTTACAGATCAGAAATTATCATATATGTACCTCCATATAAAGTTGTCATTGAGCCAGTTCCAACTCAAAAGATGACCTTACAGGATTTTCAGTCATTAGGGTTTTTGGGAAATGGCTCTCTAAGCCTTTCTGAGGTATCTGTGGGTGGACTTGAACTGTCAGCCTCTCACTCAAGTGCTTAACTGTTACTAAATCAAGGTATCTCGAAACAGATGACTTAGGAAGTGGAAAATTTAAAAATCACTAACAAAATCATCAAATATCCACGCACTAACAGTAAATGAGGGACCTATAGTGGCATGGTCTGTAGCGAGTTGTGCTGCTAACGTAAAGGTCTGCACAGGATCTCACCCAAGAAAACACAAAAATTACTAAAAGAAGTTGTTATTGTTGATTGCCTTTGAGTTAAGCATGACTCATAGCGACCCTATGAACAAAAGGCCTGAAGCCTTTCTATAACTATTGTCATTTGTCAAAGTTTATAGAGTTTCCAGAGGCATGTTGTTTAGGAAGTGGATGCCACTGCTGCTTCCAATTAAGTACCTTAATTATCAGCTGCCTGAAGGATCAATTTCAGGCAAAACGAAAAAGCTGCTAGAAAAGGTAAGAGGAGGATACCTTTATGATCTAGGGACAAGCAATTACTTAGAATTCAAAGAGCAAATTGAGAACTATAATCCCAGGACACCGCTAAGGATGCAAACATACAAACCACCGATTGGAAGAAATCTTTGCAGCGCATGCATCAACAAAAGCTTCTGCCTATTGTGTAGGAACCACTCCTATGAATCTCCCCATCACCACTGAGAAGACTGATTCATGGTGACTGCAGACTAGAACTCTGGTGCATAGGGTCATCAATGACTGGCATTTTGGAAATAGATCGCCAGGTGAACTCACACCTGAGTTAGTAGCCAAGCTCATGAACTGTATGCACCACCCAGGGATTCTAAAGAATTCCTACAAGCCAATAAGAAAAAGACAACCAATAGAAATACCACCATATTTATAAATGTTATTTGCTTGTTAAAAATGCTCTCACACATTTGTGGTCATTCCTGGGCATATGCATGGGAAATTCACCAGCTGAGGTCTAGCAAGACTGGCTCCCTAGTTGCTAATTCACTGTCGGTAGGAATTTCATAGAGCATAACTCACTTGAATCCAATTGCTGACTGTACAAACAAAAAACAAAATAAAGATGGTCAGCTTCCTTAATCTGGAGTTGCTATAGGAATGAAAAGGAGTCCCCAGATGGTACACGTGTTAGATATTGAACTACTAACTGGAAAGCTGGTCATTCGAACCCACCCAGAGGTTCCTGGGAGGCAGAGCCTGGCAGTTCGGCTTCCAAAAGGTCACAGCCACAGCCATTGAAAACCTTAAGGAGCGTAGTTCTGCCCTGCCCGAGGAGTCATCAGGAATTGGAGCCAAACTGCAGACAATCCTGTGGCACTTTTGGTGGAAAAGAGACCTGTCTTACAGTTTGGCCGCATTGCACAGCCACCCTGCAACAGATCTCTGGTCCCTTAATGCTGAACACAAGACACTGAGTACTCAGGTTCTAACTGCAATCGTCGGACTCTCAGTGACCCCACGCGCAGCACGCCGATCGAGCACCATCCACACGACGCTTGAACACATTGTTGTAGGCACTGTCAGTCTGTCTTCTTTAAGGTCTTCCTGTCTTTTGCTGACCATCTACTTTTCCAAGGACTGTCCCCTCCTGGCAACATGTCCTAAGTATATGGTAGAAAGTTTCATCATCTTTGCCTCGAAGGAGCCCCCGGTTGCCCTTCTTCCAACATAGATATATTTGTTCTTTTGTCAGTTTTCACTTTAGATTGACTTATATGCAGTTTTAAAGTCTTTGTCTGTACCATGATTCCTCGTGGAGGGGGACAACTGCAGGGCTGTGGAGGCCTCTCTGTCTTAGGAACTGTCATGACAAGCTCTCTTGGAGGCTGGTGTGAAGGGCTGAGCAAGCTGAAGGGAGTCCCTCCAGACCTTTCATGTAGTCTGCCCAATGCTGGGTACCCAGTGCATGTGTAATGCACCTCAACAAAAAGTGTCTTTAAAATGCATTGCTACAAGAAGCCCCTCTGGTTTGTGCATGTCCTTTAGAGGCCAGCAGGAGGGGCAGGATCCCCTCTCACTGCAGCTGCCCTGGTGGCTGCAATACTGCTGGGAGGGGGTGGCTCAGGGAGGGGGCCGCACCAGGCTTCACACCCCCTTCCTTGCTCTCTCCCCTCCTCACTCCTTATCTACAGGGCAGTTCCCATTTGACCTCCTCACCTTGGAGACTGAGATGAAGGTGGGTGTCAGCTCTGGACCGTCAGAGTCAGACTGGGGACCAACATCTCCCCAGGATCCCCCTATTTCACATGAAGGTCTGTTCTGGACCAGTCAGGTCAGAAAGTTAGTTCCCTTTCATGAGATCACTGGCCTCAGGCTGCTCGAGCTTCACAGCTCTTCTTTCTGGCCCACCAGGGCGGAGGGACTGGCCAAGTGGGCACCACCTCAAGGACCTTTCACCTTGGCTTTGACTGAGCCTTGAGGGAACAGCCAACTCGGGGCAGAGCTCTTTCTCTGGGATAAGCAGCTTCCAACTGTGGCAGGCTGGGCTGTGGAAGCTTCCAGTGGCCTCAACTTGGTTGAGGGGGTTGAGGTGGGACTAGGGGAGGTCTCACCTTATAGGAATAAGTTCCACTATGCTTCTGCTCCTCAGAGCTTCAGACAAGTGTTTCTATCTATAGGGTGAGAAGGGAGATCGAGGGGACACTGGGCAGAAAGGAGAGAGGGGTGAACCAGGAGGTGGTGGATTCTTCGGCTCCAGTGTGCCAGGCCCGCCTGGTCCTCCTGGACCACCAGGTTACCCTGGGATTCCGGTAAGCTGGGTTCTGGGACTTCTCCAGCTTGTGTGAGCAGATCATCTCCAGGGTGTAACAGAGTTGGGGGCCAAGGGCGGGTCCCCTCAATGCAGGAACTCACCTGGCTCTGAGGCCCAGTCTGACCAGGCCCTCCCAAAGCAGCTATCCCTGTTCTACCCACATGTCTTTGCACCTGAGGGCTAAGATGAAGGTGAGGGCACACACAGAGCTACAGCCCCAGGAGGATGCTTACAGCTGTGGTCCCAGCCCCAGGAAGAAGCGTACAGCTCTTACTAATCCTCTGTCGTCCCTGCACCGCTGCCTCTCTACTTTTGATTTGGAGACAGCTGTCCTGAAAGAGCATATATAGAGAGTTGCCTCAGCCTCTGGAGGTCACTCTATTCTCAGGGACCTGCCTGGGGGGGCTACTGCCTGGAACTGAATCCCCAGAGAGAAGATGGTGGGGTGAGGAGGCAGGCTTTCTCAGTCCTTAGTGCTGGCTCTCACCACCTTCCTCTGCCTGAGAGGTAACCAGGTGCTCTGAGGCAGCAGGCAGGGCTCTCACAGATGCAGCTCTGGCCCCCTCAGGCCTGCTGGATTGGGCTTGGGCCCTGCAGGTAACAATGTCTCATATTCTGTCATCCATCCCTAGGGTTCCAAGGGAGAGAGTGTTCGGGGTCAGCCTGGCCCACCAGGCCCTCAGGGACCCCCTGGCATTGGCTATGAGGGGCGCCAGGGACCTCCCGGGCCTCCTGGACCCCCAGGGCCCCCAGGACTCCCCTCGTTTCCTGGCCCTCACAGGCAGAGTAAGTCTGATGAGGAGTGGACCTGGGTGAACCTTGGGATGAAGTACAGCCCAGTCTAGCCAAGGTGACCATGACATCCACCTCTGTTCTCGCTCTCACAGCCATCAGTGTTCCTGGTCCTCCTGGCCCACCTGGCCCTCCAGGTCCCCCTGGAACCACAGGAGCATCATTGGGTGTAAGTATCCGGTGGTGGCTCGGTGCCACCTGCCTGGCCTGGCTAGCTGTCACTGCATAGCTCCACCCCCACCCTGGCTGACCCTTACAGCCGCTCCATCACCACCCAGTTGCTTTTTAGAGGGCTGAGAGTAGGCTGTTTTGGGGGTCTCTTTCAGTGGGTATGTAAGGCTCCAGCTCTGAGCTGGCTTTTCCTCTGGGGCACATGATCAGAAGTCCTAGAGATGAGAGGGAAGTTGAGTTCATGAGGGGGCTGGTGGGATCAGGTGTGTCAAGAAGGAGGTTCCCATATGGCAGTTCATTGTGCAGGGCAGGGGTGGCTTGGGGACTTCGAAGGCTAGGAGGTTTCACCAGCATCTGGGCAGTGTGATTTGATAAGACGAGGCCAGCCCCATTTTCTGGAGCAGAAATATAGCTTGAACCCTTTCCCCCTGCTTTATAAAGGCACACACCAGCTCTGGTCATAGAGCAATTTTGGGTAACAGACTTGACACATGTTCAAGTTGTAATGTTCGTGACCTGCAGTGTGAAGCAACCCTGCCGTTACACACCTCCCACTGCATCCCTGCACCTGAATCACCCACGCCCAGCTCTCTGAACCCAAGCCCTTCTACTAGGACCTGGCTGGCCCCGTCTTGAGTCCTCAGGATTCACGTTGGCTTTGGGTTCCAGCAGGTGAGGATCTGGGCCACATACCAGACCATGCTGAACAAGGTGCACGAGGTGCCCGAGGGCTGGCTCATCTTCGTGGCTGAGAGGGAAGAGCTGTACGTCCGGGTCCGGAATGGGTTCAGGAAGGTTCTGGTGAGTTGCTGGATGGCAGTGACCCTGCATTTAGAAGGGACTCACAGTGCATGTCTCCTTCACTCCCAGGAGTGCACACTAAGAGGACAAAGGCAGAGGGCTTGGAAAAAAGGGAGCTTTACGCTGAGGCTCCCCCCAGGAGCCTTCCCTGCTGGAGGGCATCACCTGGGCAGCATCAACCAGCACTTCTCGCCAGATACCGCAAATAACAAACATACCAGATGTGCTCAGTGTGTCACACACTAGGACCTCAGGCGCCATGTCAACCTATGTTCACATCTTAATGTGTTTCTTTAAAGGTATATAATAACAACACAGTTTCTCTTCATCATCTGCAGATTCCGTATGTGTGAATTTGCAGAGAATTATTTGTTAACTCCGAGGTTAGTACTCACTGGCAATTTCATGGTCATTCATAGAATATACACAGAAGGGCAGTCACCCAGCAAACACATTCCTAGCTGAAGTCGAACAAGGCTAGTTCAGTAACTGTTGTTGCTGTGTCCCATCTAGTTAGAACCGACTCATAGCTGACCCGCCACTGAGTGTCATGGGTGGTAAATTGCATGGAAGGAGATCGCCCATCTTTTCTCCCCATTGGAGCAGCTGGTAGATTCGAATCACGTGCCTTTTGGTTGGCAACATAGTCCCTTACCACCAGGCCACCAGAACTAGTTCAGTATTAGTGAAAACTATAGAACATTGCTGTTGAGAATGAGAAGAGGTGGCTATATAAATCTACCTCTTGGTCCTGTCTGCACACAGGTGAGAACAAGAGGAGGCCCTCTGACAGGCCTTATCACCTCCCTGGTGACATCATCGTTTGATGACCATCCCCCAGCCCGACCACCTTTGCACTTGGGGTTCAGGGCATGCTCACTGCCCCATGCCTTGTACTGTAAACAGCACTGTGAAGGGTAGCTGCAGCACTCTGGGGATGGCCTGAGCTCCCATGGCTGCCCAGTACAAAGCCTACAGTCCTTCATACTTAGGCTCCTCTCACACACTCTCAACCAGCATCTGCTCTAGAACTCACTCCTTTGAGAAAATGACACCAACTTTCTTTTTTAGTCCAGAGAACAGCAGGCCTCAGACATAGACCAGGTACCCACTCTGTATTGAGATGGGCACTGGGGATGCCAACCATTCCCAACTCCAAGGAGCTCACATTCTAGCACTGTTGTAGTTATGTACCATCAAGTCACTTGCAATTCATAGCAACCCTGTGTACAAGAGCCCTCAACCCTGCTCCATCCTGTGCCATTCTCACAGTCTGTGACACACCTACCCCCATTACCCCCATCACTGACTCGATCCATCTCATCAAAGGTCTTCCTCTCCTGTACCGTCCCTCCACTCTCCCAAACATGATGTCCCTCTCCGAGGACCAGTCCCTCCTTGCAACATGCCCAAAGTATGTCAGATGAAGCTTCAGAATCCTTGACTCCAAGGAGCATCCCGGCTTCGCCCTCTCTAGGACAAACCTGCTTGTTCCCCTAGCAGTCCATGGTATATTCAACACTCTTCTCCAGCATCATAGCTCAAAGGCATCAATTCTCCTTCCATCATCCTTAGTCACTGTCCAGCTCTCTGATGTATAGCACACAATTGCGAAGACTATAGCCCGGACCAGGCTCACCTTAGTCTCCAGCCTGACGTCGTTGTTCTAGCACTACAGATGATAAATAATGCTAGTAATAAACAAGAAACCAGAGGGATAAGGCATGAGAAGGGGAAACCCCAGGTGTCTGGGGCTGGGCATTGGCCAGAAGGTCCTTGGAGTAAAGCTGGTATTCTCTTGTAGCTGGACGCCCGGACGCCCCTGCCACGTGGGACGGTAAGAAGTGTTTTTTCTTTCCCTTCATTGTTAGTCCAGATCTGGTGCTCAGGCTGGGCACGCGATGGTAGCCCCCTCATGGTTCTGTGTAACTGGGATGACAGGCAGCTCTGTAGAGGGTGTTGCCTCTGGGTCAGCAGCTGTTGGGGTGGGGAACACAGTCACGTGACAACTCCCCTGTCAGACTGTATGCACCTACAAGGGCAGCATGTGACGAACATAACCATTCGTACCTATGGATTGTCAATACTCATAGATGTGTAGCTCTTGGGAGTTAAAACCCATACCTCATTGTCTTTATCTGTCTGCTCTCATCCAATATGGCAAGTCAAGGAGAGAGTGGTGGATGAGTGGGTGGATAGAAAAATGGAAGGATAGGTGAGTGAGTGGATAGGTGAGTAGATATAAAGATGGGTGGCTGGGTGGATAGATGGATGGATGGTGGGTGAGTGTTGGATGACAAAGGAGTAAACAGGTGGTGTGCAGTAGACAGAATTGGTGTTGGTTGGGCAGAAGCGGTCAGCCTGTTCAGGCTCATGGCTCATGGGGTTCTTGCCTGGAGGAAAGCAGGGTTCTCCATCCTTGTTCCTCTAACACACTCAAGGGCAGCTGCCCAGGCCTGGGAGCAACTCCACTAATCCAGAAGACCAGGCCCTGATAAGGGCAGGGATTCGGAAGGGACTTTGGGAATGTGAGCAGGGCTTGAGAAGACCCCACCTCCACCCCAACCCTGCCTCTCTCTCTTCTGTAGGACAATGAAGTGGCCGCTCTGCAGCCCCCTGTGCTACGTGAGGGCCTATACTCCTGGCAGGAGCCCCCACGCTCTACAACACAGTCTGGCCGGCTGTATGGCGTCCTGGCCAACCCTCCTCGCCTGACAGACCCCCAGCCCTACCCTGGAGTCTCTCACCATGGCTCCTACACACACCTCCAGCCAGCTCGCCCCACCATCACACCTGTCCACGTCCACGCCCAAGCCCATGACCATGCCCGGGACCACACTCACCATGACTTCCAGCCAGTGGTGAGTGCCCAAGCACCGGGCTGCAGGGCTTAGGGAAAGGACCCACACCCCAGGCAGTTTCTGGAGCAAGGCAGGCCCCTGGGCACTAGACTCAACCTGTTAGTTACAATGCCTCCAAGGTCAGTGTCACTAAAGCCTGGACAGTGGTAGGTGATAGGACAGGAGGAGTTTAGTGAGCCTCTGCTCCAGGACGAGGGAGTATGGTGGGAGGCTACCACCTGGGGCAGCACTGCACCCCATAGGGCAGAGCTGAATGTTGGGGGAAGAGTATGATGGGTGGGGTCAAGTTGTTGTTGTTATATGCCATCCAGTCCCTTGCAGCTCATAGCTATCCTATGTATAAGAGCTGTAAATGCAGCTCTATCCTGTCCCAATCTCTTGGCAACATCTTGGTCAACACAGGGAAGAGGCTTGTTAATTCCCCACCACCTTAAACTGACCATTCACTGCAGCTGACCCCTCTGCCTGACCCTTTGGTGACATTCCTTGGCTCTCAGCTCTGCTCATCCCCATCTGGGTATTGGGGTGAGGGCAGGGACGGTGCATCAGACTCCCAGCCTCTGAGAGACTCCCTGCCACTGACCAATGACCCCCTCTCCTCGCTCCAGCTCCACCTGATCGCCCTCAATGGGCCCCTCACGGGCGGCCTGCGCGGCATCCGTGGCGCCGACTTCCAGTGCTTCCAGCAGGCGCGGGCCGTGGGCCTGACCGGTACCTTCCGCGCCTTCCTGTCCTCGCGGCTGCAGGACCTGCACAGCATTGTGCGCCGTGCCGACCGCGAGAACGTGCCCATCGTCAACCTCCAGGTGTGCCAGCGGCCCTGGGAGGTGGAGGGCACTAGAGGAGGGGCCGAGGCGGAGGTGGAGCCTAAGGGGCAGCGTGGAGGTGCTGGCTACACCCACTGCCAGAGACTTCCCCGCAGGCGTGTGGACCTGGTTATATTCTAAAAGTACCACCAAGGTCCCTTTACCCTGGAGAGTGGCCACTACCGCCAGTGAATTCCAGAACACTGCCCCACGCCACACCCCCACCTGACAATGACCCTTCGTACACCAGGGCGGTGCCTTTCACAGAGCTGTCTGATGGTAGTGTTTTCCCGGGGCATATTCTCAGCCATGTGAGCCAGGGTCATCCTGCTCATAGTTAAGTCACCCCTGAGGATGACCAGGGGGAGAAAACGTTATTTAGGCATACTCCACCCTGAATCCAGCCCCTCCAACACCCCTTGGGCCTAGGAAGAGGGAGAGAGACATCCAGAATTGAGTCAGTGCGGTTCCTCATGTGGCTTTGCTCCAGGCCTCACTTCGAGCTCTGGGCTACTTGAGACCCTGCGCAGCTGCAGCTTTCTCCTATCCCCGGACCCCTCAAGCTTCCACAGCCCAGCTCCAGGCGCGGATGGGCCTAGTGCCTGTTAACCATATAGGCTGCTCAGTGCCTGAGGAGCAGAAGGCCAAAGACCCTGCCCCACAGGCAAACTTGAATTCAGGGTGCAGGGTTCCTCTGCCTTGGCTGGTGCCCACGTGTCCTCCTGGGAGCCTCTGGCTGCCCAGACAATATGGAATCTTGCCCAGAAGCCTTCCCTTGGGCAGGATGTGACCAAGGCCAAGTTTTCCTTTCCTTGTTTTCCTTCACAGGATGAAGTGCTGTTCCCCAGCTGGGAGGCTTTGTTCTCCGGCTCCCATGGTCAGTTGAGGCCTGGGGCCCGCATCTTCTCCTTCGATGGCAGAGACGTCCTGAGTCACCCTGCCTGGTAGGTCCCCACTGTGGCATGAGCGGGCAGTGCAGCTGAGTGACTGGGGAGGTGCTGCTGCTTCTAAGGCCCCAACTTTGAAAGTGTTCACCTGAATTATTTGGTCTTCTCTTCCATGTGATCCAGAGTTGCTGTTTGAAACATTATAAAGCCAAGGAGGTAGTTAAAATGTTAACTCCAAAACCTCATTGCTGTTGAGTAGGAAACAACTGATAACTGACCCTCTTCGGGATTTCTGGGGTGCAGTGATATTTCTCCAGTAAAGCTGCTGGTGGATATGAACTGCCAGAGAGGCATGGCTTCACAGCACAACTCTCTAAGCACGATAATTAGCCATAACATTTTTTAAGGAAGGAAGGAAAAAGAAAAAGAAACACTCTGTCTAACACACTTTTCCTGAGTGCACTGGGCGAACTTCCCCCCATTCCAGCTCTGCTGTGTGCCCAACCCCCACTGTCACATAACAGCGTTGTGACGAAAACCCTTCCCTGCGCACCTGTGCGTGCTCAGTGCAGTGGTTTATGGTGTATGTGCCTACATGTGGGGTTCTTGTGTACACTAGCAAAAGTTGCCAGTTTGTCCTCCACAGTTTCACCAAACTCTCCTCCTGCTGCTAGATGTGTGGTTGCCTGTCCCTCCTCACCCACACTCTGTGAAAGGGCACCCAGGTTTAGGCACGGCCCAGTGGGTCTGAGTCTGGACTTACTGGTCTCCCGGAAACCACTTACTGAGGCCCATTCTCTGAGCCTCATGTGGAAGCTGCAGTGCAGGCCAGTCCCCCAGCATGGACTGAGGCCAGAACCCCACATGGTTGGGCCAAAGAGGCAGTGAGCCAGGGTTCTCAGAGGAGCTTCACTGTACTCGGTGTTTTCAGCCTGGTCCAGGCTTAACTTTTGCACCAAAGGAGAGTGGTTGGGTGAACTCCCGTCTTTGGGACAGGGTAGCTGGCTGATGAAAGAAACTGTGGCCTGGGCTTCTGATCCCCGGCTCCCTGCTAGCTGTTGGCCCCTGCCTGGTCGTTGGCTGGGGCACACTGATATCAAGTGCTTCTTTCAGGCCCCAGAAGAGCATATGGCATGGCTCAGACCCCAGCGGGCGTCGTTTGATCGAGAGCTACTGCGAGACATGGAGGACAGAGAGCACGGCGGCCATGGGCCAGGCCTCCTCGCTGCTGGCGGGCAGGCTGCTGGGGCAGAAGGCTGAGAGCTGCCACAATGCTTTCATCGTCCTGTGCATTGAGAACAGCTTCATGACTGCCTCCTCCTAGCAGGCGCTTCTGCTGTGCAGATGGATGGACGGACAGCTGGCCAGAGAGGAGGCCAACCAGAGCCTTCATTGCAGGCAGGGCTGGTGCCCACTTGGGCCTGACAGGTCCACTTTTCTGTATAGTTCACGTCCTCATGTAACCCCCTCAAGAAATAAAAGGAGCCAAAGAGTGTATTTTTTCAAAAGTGTAAAACAATACCCGGTGTCCAGACCCTTTTTCCCACCTGCAAGCTACAGCTGGCTGTGGCCCAGGTTTCCAGGAAAGGAGGTATTGTGATGACTCCGTTGGACCTGTAGAGGTTCTCACACCATACTCAGACCCTGGGCTGGATCACAAACCCAGCATGCATGGAAGTCTGCCTCCAGAACTCATTGTCCATAGCAGGCTGCAGGGCCCACTGTGCTCTGGGTGTTGGGAAGGGCTCTCAGCCATCCCCGGCACCGACTAAGTACCTACCTGGACCCTTCTTGTGTTCAGAGCTCTGTCTTGTTTGCACATCCTGGTAAGGCCTTGAACTGTCCCTGCCCTCATCCCTCCTCACCTGTCGAGGGGCTCTAGCAATGGAGAAAGAGCTGTTCTTCCCTGTGAGTGAGTGATGAGGGCCATTCATCTCCCCTGTGCCAAGAGAAACTGCCTCTCTTTGGCCTCCAGCCACCTAGTTCCTCTGGAGCCAGCTCTGCCTCAGGGCTTGTCTACTTCTCTCTCCCCCCCCACCCCCCACACACTAGTTTATTTACAAAATTCTAATACAAATACAAACAAATTCTTTCAATTTCCCCCCACTTATCAAATTGTACAACCCAATGATTAATCCCCTCTTCCCCCTATACATCCCATCCCTCTGCTTCCACCCTCTCCCACCCTCCCAGATCGTTATACACATTCTACAATAATGGTCTTATACAATATTTATCCTTGTGGGACTGAGTTAGTTCACTCAGCATAATGCTCTCCAGTCCCTCCCAAGTTAGGTAGTCATTTACAAAGTTATTGTTCCTGCGTGCTGCATAGTATTCCATGGTGTGAATGTACCATTATTTCTCAATCCATTCGTTTGTGGTTGGACATTTGGGTTTTTTCTGTGTTCTTGCGATGGTGAATAATGCTACTGTGAACACTGGTGTACAAATCTCAGTTTGTGCCTCAATTCTCATATTCTCAGAGTGTATTCCAAGTAGTGGAATAGCTGGGTCATATGGAATGTCTATGTTCAGCCTTTTGAGGAAGAACCAAACTGCCTTCCAGAATGGTTGCACCATTTTACAATCCCATCAGCAATGTATAAGTGTTCCTTTCTTACCACATCCTCTCCAACATCTATTACTTGCTGCTCTGTTAAACTTTATCACTCTTACTGGAGAGAGATGGTACCTCATTGTGGTTTTGATTTGAATCTCTCTTATTGCCAGTGATTTGAAGCATTTCTTCATGTGTCTATTTGCCATTCGAATATATTCCTCTGTGAAAATTCTTCCTACGTCTTTTGTTGGAGCTTGTCTTGGTCCTTTTACTGAGCTGACTTCAGTGACCAACCTGCAAACAGATCAAGTACTGCAGAGACCTTCAAGAATCAAGGCATAGCAGCACTTCAAAACCCACACATGCACCACAAGATAAAGGTAAATAATCCAATAGAAAAATGTGCACAGTATATGAACAGACACTTCACCAAAGAAGACATTCAGATGACTAACAAGCACATGAAGAAATGTTCAAAATCCCTAGCTCTAAGAGAGATGCAATCAAGACAACTATGAGATATCATCTCACCCCAGTCAGAATAGCAAAATTTAACAGAACAGCAAGCAACAAATGCTGGCAAGGTTACAGAGAAACTGGAACCCTATTCACTGTTGGTGGGAGTGTAAAATGGTGCAACCACTGTGGAAGGCAGTATGGCATTTTCTCAAAAAGTTGCAAATAGAGATACCATTTTTTTTAATTATTATTATTTGTGTGTGTGTACCGTCAAAACAGATCTGACTGGTACAGGAGGAGATTGTTCCTCCTTTTCCAGGAGAGCATCTGGTGGATTTGAACCGCACACCTCAGGGATTGCAGTGCAGCTTCTTGCCACTAGGCCACCAGAGCTCGCCTAGAGATACCATTTGACCCAGCAATTCCACTACTGGGAATATACCCCAAAGAAGCCATAACTGACATTCAAGCAGATATATGCACACCCATGTTTACTGCGGCTTTGTTCACAATAGCAAGGAGTTGGAAACAACCTAAGTGCCCATCAACAAACGAATGGATAGAGAAGCTGTGGTATATTCACACAATGGAATACTATGCTGCATTGAAAAACAAGGAACTCATGAAACATTCAAAATGGGTGACCCTGGAGGACATTATGCTGAGTGAAGTATCTCAGTCACAAAAGGACAAATACTGCATGGTGCCACTGTTGTAAAACAGGACTGACCTTGGGGTTGGGGAGAAACTGAGAAAGATGGGTTCAGTAATGTATACTGCATTGAAACAGATGAGGGAGAAAATTGAGTCCACAATTTAGGTTGCATAGTGGAATGTACTTGGGGCAGTGGGAGGGGTGCGGGGGGGTTGTGTACCAGGGAAGGAGTGTTTCTTTTACTTTTGATAGAGAGGGGCGAGCTGGGGAAGAGGAGGGCTGGGTGGGGAGAGAAGTGCAGCAATGAATGAATGAATGGAAATCCAAAATCTCTGTAAAATGCTCATTAAAAGTATTTTTTAAAAAATTGAGAGGATCCAGCAGTTGGAAAAAAAAAAGGGATATGTCATTAGGTATTTTTGTCACAACAGGAGTCTAGAGCGAAGGCTACATGGTGGAGTGGACCTGGTGGAGGGTTTGTAAAACAATGAAAGAATTCTACTTTTCGAAGAGGGTAGTGTACTAGGGAGGAGGATAGGGAGGGGAGAAAAGTGCAACAATGAATGAATGGAAATCCAAAGTCTCTGTAAATTTTTACTGAAATTAATAATAAATTCAAATAAACAAACAAAAAACCAACCCGCACATGACATTCCCTTCCATGAAGTGGGTTCCCAGCAATGACTCCAGGCTCACCCAGCCAAGGTCATGCTTGAACCACACCCTGGCCTGGCCCCAGGGGTGCCTCATGCTAAGTCAGGGCTCTGGGATTCCCAGGCTTACCTTTCCAAGGCTGAGAAAACTGGGGCAGGCGGGGGGCAGGGGTGTTCTCAGCCAGGGTGTGGATAGGGGCTGCCCACTTGAGTCTTGAGAAAAGGATGGCCGAGTTTAGAGGACCAGGTTCAGAGAGGCAGGTACACCCCAGATCCTGCTCTGCTGATACTTGACGGCATCCATACACATAGCCAGGCTGCCTTCCTGTCACATATCCTGGGATGTTATGGGTGGGCAGGGAGGGTCCAGGGGAGTCTACAGGTTGTTCTGTATCATCGAGTCAGTTCAACTCATAGCTGACCCTCCAGTTGGTCAGTAAATGCAGAGGCAGTAAGTCATCTGGGAGAAGATTGCCATTTTTATCCCGTGGAGCAGCTGTTGGATTTGAACCACATGGGTTCAGGTTGACAGCATAGCTCCTTACCCCTGGCGCCATATTGGAAGGCCGCCCACCTCCCAGGATCCAGCCATGAGCCAGGTCAACCTTTCATGCTTGCTGTGACACTGCCAGCAGACTGATGAATAAACACTTGATGTCTGCCTCATGAGTGACTATTCGGCCCCTTGAGCTTTGGGGGTTGTGTGTGATTGAAGCCAGGTATTGAATAAGAAATGACCCCTTCAGTTATTTAGTCTGTAGACTGTCATGGAAGGGATGGTCACATGAATCAGTTTTGCCACAAGAGGGCAATATCCACCCACATGAGAATAGAGACTCTCCTCCAAGGGCCACCGGGCAGTGAGGCATCTGCACAGGACAACACCCATGTTCAGGCAGCCAGTGCAGATGCAGGTCTACTTCCCTGGGCTACACTGCAGCCCCCCACTCAGTCTAGATCTGCTCACTCTGTCCTGGGGTCAGCTGGGGTGTTCAGACCAAGATGAGTGGACTCCCCAGCCCTGGGGAATCTGGGCACACAGTCACATGGGCACTGAGATGGATGGCAGAGGGCTGGCCCTGACAAAGATCTGCCAGGGAAAGTCCTTCTGGGAAGAGCATCTAGGGAGGAAGTGTCTGCAGCCTGGAGTTTGGGTCAGGAGGGGTACTCGAAGAGGCCCACCTCTCCATGCTGGACGCCTAGACTTCGCATGAGGGGCTACATTAGAGAGGGCTCCACTCAACCACCATTGCCCCATGTGCAGCCAACACAAACCCTAAGATGCCCACTTACCTGGCAGACCTGGGAACTTCCAGGCGCATAGCTGCTGGCCTCTATTCTGTCCCTGCCATCACTCCTTTTCTCAGGATTGGAAGAGTGAGATAGTACAGAAGGGACAGAACCCGGGACAAACCCAGATCCATAGGGTCCTTGTCTGAGGCTGGCGGGGGGTAGGGTGGGGGGGGATGGGGCAGGAGGCGCAGTTTCCTGGCACAGATGTGGCAAAGTCATTCCTGGTCCTTCCTTCAACCCAGGTTGGAATTGAAGCTCAAGACTGCTCTGATGGATAATTTACCATATTCTCTTACATGCCCTGGTGGTGCGGTCCATAGGGTGTTATGCTGTCAACTCAGAGGCCACGCCCCTCTAGAGGTTCAAGTCCACTAGCCCAGCACCTCCACAGGAGCCAGGTAATCTCTCATGTGATTGACAGGCTTGGAAACCTGTTGGAGGTTCAGCTATGAGTTGCTTCTGATTCAACAGGAACAAGAGTGAATACATGATCTGATCTTAAGGGACAGCACAAATGGTTCCAAACCAGGTACAGTGATGTGTACATTCTGGGCTGTGGGTCTTCTGGACACCAAGCAAAGCTACCACTGCTCATCTGCCAGGGGTGCAGAAATGAACTCCTTAATGTGCCAGTGAGGGCACATAGTGCGTGTGTGCTAGCAAAGATGTGAGCATATGGGGTTCACAAATACATGTGCATGTGTGTGAACATGCCTACAGCACACAGCAGGGCCAAGCTCGGACACACCAGCCTCCCCATCCATCTTCCCTGAGGGGACAGATTGAGAGACCCTGTGACGGGAGGAGCCGTCTCCTAGGCAGGGCCACATCTGCTTCCACTTCAACGCCGACAGATCCCTCCTCAGAACCAGGCACACAGAGCATAGTTCATCCATTTTATGTAAGTTGTTTTTAAAAAAGTAACAGCATCACTTTAAGTATAAGCACCTGGACACCTGGAAATGTCACAGCTTAGCTGAGGCCAGGGGTTTGGGGTCCAGTGCCCTGTTTCTCAGCTTCAGTTCCCACTCTTGACCTGGTCGCCCAGGACACCGTATGAAGAGCTAGTGCATTTAGGGCCCTTTGTGTACCCTTAGAGACTCACGGGATTTTATGGGGTGAGGCCACGGGGCCTAGCCACCACTCCAGATAAGGGGCAGCCTGGATCAGTGTGGCAAGGTCAACTGTCCTAAGGGACCTTAGAAGGCTTTATACCATGAACAGAGCTGCATGCTGGGGTGTGTGGGGCAAGGGGCCCTCAACTGTGGCAGCTCAGCCACGATGATCACAGGGAAGGCTCGAGGTCTGATGGGAAGGCCACCCACTGAGGTCCCCACTAGCTGTTGGTTCTACAAATTGAACCATGGATTTAGACAACAATAGAGTCCAGCCCAATGATGCCAGCTGGCTGGGGACACAGCCCATTTGAAATGCTGAGACTTGGCTTGGTCCACACACGGCCTTCCACGTCTGGGGTCCTGGCGTGCAGCCTTTCATGTTAGAGGTCCAGCAGGTAATTCAGGCCTTCTCTTCGGGCAGTGGGCACTGCTCGTAGGTGGCTGGTCCTGGTGTCAATTCACTCTCCTTTGTCGTCACGGCAGTGGCCTCCAGGCTGCAAAGGCCCTTGTCCTGCACAGTCAGCACCTGTGTGGCCTTGTCTTCTGCTGGGCTCATCATCTCCTGGGTCAAGGGCAGGGGCTGGTGACGGCTCTGGCGGTAGTGCTGCAAGCCTGTTAGCATAGCTCCCGAGAAGTAGACCACGGACAGCATCAGAAAGTATCCAAAATAGACGTGGAACTGCAAGAGAGAGGGTAGGTGGGTAGGAGGGCCCAGGGCAGGCACGAAGGTCAGTCCTACATATGACAGCTCAGTTCCTCAGCGGGAACAGGTCCCACAGCACCCACCATGAGGACATAGAAGCCTGTGCAGCCTTGAGACACCGACACACCTGCTCTCCCAAAACCCCCACAGAAGAGGAATCCCCATTCCTCCTCCACATTTACAGTGTCTTCACTTTCTCCCTGAGCCCCTTTTGCTAATTTTGTGTGTCCTCAAATGTGCACTCTGCGGGTGGTGTTCCTGTGGTTGCGCTGAGGACCCAGGTGCTGTATAAGTGTCAGGAAGTCCCCATATGCTGAGCTAGTAGAAGAGAGCCTCATTGGGAGGCCAGGGTCTACTCCTTCCTCAGCCCTACTCTCCAAGCACCCAAGACTCAGCTCACTTGCTGAGCCAAAGACTTTGGATTTTTTTGTTACTTCCTCCTTGGAGCAAAGGGGAAACTGCAATAGCGATACAAAGAACACAGACCCAGTGAGTCAGAATGCCCGTATTCCTCCTGATCCAGTGGCGACCAGTGGAGCAGGAAGGATAGGTCCTCAGGATACCAGGGAAGGTTGGAGCATATTACTGGGATTTTAGCGAGGGGTGGGATATGTCCCTGAGTACACCAGAGAGATATAGGACATGGTCCCACGATAGCAGGTCCTGGAGGTTAGGTATAATTTAGGACCTGAGGCTTCTGTGGGCCAGAAGTAGGAATGAATCCTGTTCAAAATCTCTGCAGCCACCCTCAGCTTCAAGAAAAGTTTGTTTTCAGAAGCAAACTCAGGAAACAAACTATGAGACTTCACTTCCTGGGAAACAGGTTCCACCTGCTTTAAACGATTTCTTCCTCTGAGTAAAACTAAAATTCCTGACATTCTGTATAAGACTGTGAAAGGTGGAGAAAAAACAGCATACTGGTTAGGGATCGCAGGATGCAACAATGGCATGCTAGTGAGTGCCTGGGTGTTCTTTTTGCCTCATTACCCAGACACGGAGCAGAAGAAGCTGGCAACAAAAAGATCCAAAAAAAAAATACCTATTCACTGTGGCCAAAGGGCCGGAAAAAGGCAGCGCAAGAAGAGAACTCAGACAATAACTGCTCTACTCCAGCCAAACACGACAGAAGACTTGTAACTGCATTACCACCCACACCCCCAAGAACAAGTGTGGAACCTGGACTTCCAACCTCATCAGCTCTGACGAGGTACCCACACCCCTGCTGGTGGTAGGGAGGGCCAAGCAAGGAGCCCGGACTTTCATCCCTGCTGGGCAGAAATGAAGTGAACCATGAAGAATCAGTGGACACCATGTGGGGAACCTGGACTTTTGCCCTCACACAGGGTTAGCATGGTGTCTGGCCTGCTCCCTGCAGGGGTGAAGTTAGAGGAGGTCTAATGGAGAAGCAGAACTTTCACCACAGGCCAGCGGTAATGAGGACGCCACCCACAGAGTCAGTGGAGGCCAGGTGGAAAGCAGCGATAGGCACCCCTGTCCCTCCCAGTCGGGAGGAAGTATGGAGGAGAGAAGGGAAGATCCACAGAGCAGACTGAACTCCCATTCTCTGAATCCCCATTTTTGTCCAGCAGTAAGAAAAGTCTCTTCCCTTGGGCATCAACAGAAGCTAAGTGGGAACTATGGACTTCCACCTCCAACTAAAAGAAAAGAGGTGACACCACCCCCTCTCCTGCTAGAGGGATCTCAGGAAAAGCCAGATAAAACAGAGGGTTTAAATAAGCTGCAAAATCTCAATGTTCAATACTCAAAATGTTTGTGTTTCAAGTGAAAATCATAGACTGCACCAAAAACCAGAAAGATAACAAACTTAAGAGAAAATAGATGTCAACACTAAGATGACAGAGAATTTTCTGAGGATCAATTTAAAGTATGTAGCCTGTAGAGAGTTACACAGCTAACCCAAAGGCTATGCCTCTCTTCCAGCAGCTCCAAGAAAGAAAGATGTGCGATCTCCTGCCTTGCCATTTATGTCTTCAGAAACCCACTGGAGTATCAGCTGGTCAGTTCATCTCTATGGCAATGAGAGAGTCAACAAGCAATCAGAAACACTCCTAATCAATTAAAAACACAAAGTCTCAGGGAAGGAGAAGAGATAAAGAAGAACTGCATAGGAACTGCATGTAAAAGTAATTAAAATAATAATCGAAAAAAGAAACTCAATGAATGGTCTCAACAGCAGAATGAATGGAAGAGGGGAAACAGTGAGTGGAAGATAGGAAAATATAAGTTACTCGTGGAACAACAGAAAAAGAAATCGACTAGGGAAATATAAATGAACAGAATTTAAGCCATGTGGTACTGTAACAAGTGATATAGCATTCATGTCACTTGAGATGCAGAAAGAGAAGAACATGAAGGTGAGACTGAAAAACACTTTAAGAAATAATAAAGACTCTCAAACAGGATAAACCCAAAGAAAACCACACCAACATTTAGCATATATACAAATTTCTGAAAATTAAGAACAAAGATAAAACACTGAAAGCAGAGGGGGAAAAAATGATACCTTAGTGGAAAAACAATAGCCAACTTATCATCAGAAACCATACAGTCAAATAATGTTGTTATATGCCATCAAGTTTAAAGTGACCCAGAGCTAACCCTCCAGTAGGTTTTCAAAGGCTGTAAATCACATGGGAAGAGACTGCCCCATCCTTCTCCTCTGGAGCAAGTGGTGGACTCAAACTGAGCGCCTTTGGGTTGGTAGTACAGCTTCATACCATCAGGACATCAGAGCTGACCTCATTAGAATGACAGCAGATTTATCATCAGGAACCATACAGTCCATTAGGAAGTAGAACAATATAGTCTGTGTGCAGAAAGGGGGGACTTCACTATCAATAAGAAAAGCTGGACAAATTCAAGAAAACATAAAATACTTGAACTTTTGAGTGTAATTGTTTTTATTCTAAAATCTTATATTCTATCTTAGAAAATGGTGAATTGGTGTCAGACCTCCTTTGCTGAGGGAAGGTGATAACACCCTCACTGCAGGAGTATCCTTTCTGGTGGAGAAATGTTTACAGAGTTCTCTGGGTGCTAAAAAGATTGACGTGGGGAATAAAAGTGGCTACAAAGCTGAGATGTATATTCATTTCTTTACCACAGATAAAGCAGGCTCTAAAAAGTGCTCTGTCACATACTAAATGTTGCATGTTAAATCATGGCAAGGAAATATAAGACATTCTTTACTTTTTTAAAAAATTTTTATTTATTCATTCATTCAGTTTATGTGTGTACTGTCAAATTGGATCTGACTGGTACAGGAGGCGATTGTTCCTCCCTCTTCAGCAGAACATCTAGTAGATTTGAACCACACACCTCTGGGATTGCAGTGCAGTTTCCTGCCACTAGGCCACCAGAGCTCACCAAGATATTCTTTACTTTTAAGACTAAAGATTTGAGGCTTTGTCCTTTAAGAAATGTGTCAATTTCTCAAATAAGCTGTCATTTCAAATTTCAGAATTTAGTCTCAGTTACAGACTTTAAATTTCTAAACAGGAAAAAGCACATTTAAAATAATTTTGATAACGGAACCTAAATGTTTGATGTTAAAAATGTACTGCTTAGACTGGGGAGTAAAGCCCAAGACCATAATGTTCATAAGAGGCAAACTGGGATCAAGCTTAGAAGCGCTAGTCCAAGGTATAAAGAAACTGCCAAATACAACCAGAAATGCACAATCTAAAGAGGATAAAATTGATGCATGGGACCTTCTAAAGATTAAATCTCTGTGCACATCAAAACCTTTTTCTAACAGGGTGAAAAGAAAACCTACAGACTGGGAACAAACATTTGGTAATACCATCTCAGACAAGAGTCTTATCACAAAAGTTCACAGAATACTCCTGGGCCTCCACAAGAAAAAGACTGATAACCCAATTACAAAATGGGCAAAAGACATGGAAAGAATTTTCAGAGAAAGATATTCAAATGGCAAACAGACACATGAAGAAATGCTCCAAATCGCTGGCAATAAGAGAGATGCAAATCAAAACCACAATGAGGTACCATCTCACTCCAGTAAGAGTGATAAAGTTTAACAGAGCAGCAAGTAATAGGTGTTGGAGAGGATGTGGTGAGAAAGGAACTTATACATTGTTGGTGGGATTGTAAAATGGTGCAACCATTCTGGAAGGCAGTTTGGCGCTTCCTCAAAAAGCTGAACACAGACATTCCATATGATCCAGCTATTCCACTACTTGGAATATACCCTGAGAAAATGAGAACTGAGGCACAAATAGAGATTTGTACAGCAATGTTCATAGCAGCATTATTCACTATTACAAGACTGTGTAAATAGCCCAACTCTCCAACCACAAATTAATGGATTGAGAAATTATGGTACATTCACATGATGGAATACTATGCAGCACACAGGAGCAATAACTTTGTAAATGATTACCTAACTTGGGAGGGACTGGAGAGCATTATGCTGAGTGAACAAACTCCATCACATAAGGATAAATATTGTATAAAACAGTTATTGTAGAATGTGTATAAGGCTCCAAGAGGGTGGGAGAGGCTGGAAGCAGAGGGATGTGGATGTGCAGGGAGAAGAGTGAATTAATCATTGGGTTGTACAATTTGATGGGGGGGTGTGGTTTAAGGGAAATTGAAATTGTTCAAATTTGTATTTGAATTTTTTAAATAAACTAGTCGGAGGGGGGAGTAGTTGAAATGTACTGCTTGATCACTGTTTGCACTTGGTTGTCTAGTTTACTTCCTCCAGGTCTTTGGCTCAAGTGTCCTCTCTGGGTGAGCTCTTCCCTGAGAGCCCTGTTTATGTGTGTGTAAGAGAATGGCCTCCACACGTAGAAATGCACAATCTCTGTCTCAGACTGTGTTCTCTGTAGGAGTAAAATCAGTGGGGAAAGAAAAAAAAATTCATACATAATATGAAAGTATATACAACCCATTGTCATCAAGTTGATCGCCAACTCAAAGAGACCCTGAAAGATAGGAGAACTGACTCACTGGATTCCCAAGGTCGGGATTTTTTTACAGAAGCAGACTGTCTCATATCTCCTCCCCTAGTGTGACTACTGGTTCAAACTGTGACCACCTGGTTAGCAGTGAGTGCTTTAATTACTTTGATATGAGAGATTCCTACACATATTTATTATATATGTATTTCAAAGAACTGGCTCACATAGTTGTGAAGTCTGGCAAGTCCCAAATCTGTGAGTCAGGTGCCAAGCTGGAGGCTTCTCCTGACTCATGTGGCTGCAGGGGCTGAAGGACATAGAAATGGCAGAGGAGATAGCAGTCTGCTGGTTCACAGAGCTACTTCTCATATAGCTGTGCTTAGTGCCCTCGAGTATGACTCATAGCAACCCTGCGAACGACAGATGGGAACACTGCCCTATCCGGCACCATATTCGCAATCTCTAACATGCCTGAGCCCACTTAAAATCACAGTTAAAATTACTGTGTCAATTCATCTCATTGAGAGTCTTTGTCTCTTTCACAGACTCTCCACCTTTCCCAGCATGATGTCTGTTTCAAAAACTGGACTTCCTGACAACATGCCCAAAGTATCTGAGATAAAATTTCACCATCCTTGCTTCTAAGGAGCAGCCTCAATGCACTTCTTCCAAGACAGGTTTGTTTATTCTTTTGGCAAAAAATGGTGTCACATTCATAGTCATAAGAACATTTCAAGATCTATCTTGAAGAACAATGCTGTGACTGACAGGATACTTGCTGCATCCAAGACCTGTTAATATAACCAAATATATGCACCAATCACTAAAACCAAAGATGAAAAAATTGAAGACTTCTACCAATTTTTTTTGCAGTCTGAAATTGATCAAACATTCAGTCAGAATGCATTAACAACAATGGTGAATGGAACGCAAAAGTTGGAAACAAAGGGCTGGAAGTTGGAAAATATGGCTTTGGTGACAGAAATGAGGTTGGAGATTGAATGATAGGATTTTATACAGTCAATAATTTATTCATTACAAATAACATATTTTAAAAAGATAAATAAGAACTGTACACATGGACTTCACCTGATGAACTACACAGGAATCAGATTGACTTCACCTTTGGAGAGAGTCAATGGAGAAGCTCAACAGCAAAGGCCAAAACAAGGCCAGAGACTGACTAGGGAACAGAGTATTAATTATTTCTGTGGAAGTTCAAATGGAAGCTGAAGAAAATTAAAACAAGTCCATGAGAACGAACATACAACCTCGAATATATCCAAAAGTGTTGCTTGAACTGGCAAATCCCAAAATCTGCAGTTCAGGTTGGCTTATGTCAGATGCAAGATTAAGATGAGGGCTTTTCCAGAACATCCACATATATTGGGATACAGGCCCGATCCCCAACGGAACTGCCCTTACATCAGATCACAAAATAGAGTAATTATATAACACCAAGATCCATAGCCCAGCTAAACTGACACATAATATTAACCATCAAACTAGCAAGGAACACATTCATTTTCACTGGCATTGAGTCAATTCCAACTCATAGCAACCTTCCAATGGGTTTCCGAGGCTATAAATCTTAATGAGAGGAAACTGCCCCTTTTCTCCCATGGAGCCGCTCCCATGGAATCAAACCACCAGAGATGCTCAAAAAGATGCTCAACCTTTTGGTCAGCAGCACAACATGCTGTGACGATGTCACTAGAGCAGCAAAAAGTACAGACACTAGAAACATAAATACGATACAAGTAAATACTTGGGTATAAGTCTGACAAAATACCTATAGCTTGTATGCTGAAAACTACCAAACTCTGAGATCAAAACAGATCTCAATAAAAGGAGAGCTAGACCATGCTCACGGCTTGAAGGACTTGGTAGAGTAAGACAACTATTCTTCCACTATTGATATACAGGATTAACAAGATATTTGGCAAAATCCCAATAAGTTGTGTGTTTGTTTGTTTGTTTTGGTAGTAAAGCTCATTCTAAAATTTACGAGGAAAGGTAAAGGAACTAGGAGAGTTGAAACAATTTTGATAGGAGAAGCTAGAGAAATCCGTTTACCCAATTTTAAGACTTATGGCTACATGACCAATACAATGTGCTATTAGCAGAAGAGATGAAAAGATGAATTGAACAGATTAGAAAACTCAGAAAGTGACCAGAGGGGGGGAAAATCACCATGAAAGTGATAAGAACAGACATCTTTACCTTATTCTTTAAACAAAGGTTCAAAAGTAATTCAATGGAAAAAACACATATAATATTAAATATTTTAACAATATTCAACAAATGGTAATATAGTAATCTGATAGCCAAAAAAAGGACACCTTGACCTAAGGCTCTCATCTTACACAAACCTCCAAATGGATCACAGATTTAAATATAAAATGTGAAACTACAGCACTTTTTAAAAAACGACAGGAAAAATGAGTCGCAAGCGACTCGATGGCACATAACAACAACAACAGCAGAGTTCTTAGACTTGACACCACCCACTAACAGCACCAACAAAGTTTCCTTTAAAAACATAAAAGGGCAAATCAGGAGATCCCCCAGGTCACGGTCCCCACATACTTGTCCTGCTCCCACATTCTTCAGGCTCGCTCACCCGTCACTCGACACACCTTTCACCACGTGCACACAGTGCAGCACAAGGGAAGGGGTGAGGCAGGAGGCGCTGCCGTTACTTCCCTTCTGGCACCATCAGCATTTCTAATTATGAACAAGCCACCTCACTCCTTGAGTTACTTTTAACCTGGAAATGAAGCCAGCCAGCAAAAATGAGGTGGTTTTTTTTTCTCCCAGTCACTTCGATTTGACCTGATGCTAATCCTCACAGGTGGCCTAGGGCTATGCCAGGACCCACAGTCTTAATCTGTCCCTGCTTCATGCCTTCTCGTGCGGCCTGGCTATACCACCACATGGAAAGGGGGCAGGGGCTGTCTCAGAAGACAGCCTCCTTCCCATCAAACCCGAAGGGGACCCCTGAAGCCCACTGTGAAGGGGTCCCCACACACAGCACCACAGGGAGGAGTGAGCACAGGTCAGTCTTGCCCTTTGAAGAGCCCGCCAGGTGGTAGAGCTCCTCTTCCATGAAAGGTTGCCACAAAGAGAGGCAAGGGGCATGCAAGACCTCTGAGAGGCCCTCAGTAACCACATGGTCAAAGTCAGAGGGCCACAGCCCTGCTAGGGCTAGGCCTACAGTGGGCTTTCCTGGGGTGTCTCTGAGAAAAGACCCTTCCATCCTCCTCACACAAGCCACTGTCCATGAGCAGGGGGCAATTCAGGCTCTCAGGAGCTGGTGGCGTCTGTACTTGACCAGATGAGACTCAGTGGGCAAACCTGGGCCCAAGAAGAGGCAGCAGCACATGCAGCCTTGGTGCGGGACAGGAAGAGGCAGTGCTCACTGTCACCATCCCTTCCCATCCCAACTTCCATTCAAACCTGAAATCAAGGAGCAGTATTAAGGGCTGTCCTAACATCTGAGACCCGACATCTGATGGGCCTCAAATGACCTAACCGCAAGTGTCTCTCCTCATGCTACCATGGTGGAGAAGGTAAACCATCCTTATTGCAAGACCAGACCGTGCATCCAATCATCTCCAAGTTCAGTTTCCAGTGGGCAGGTTACCCTGCCCTCTTGTTAATGCAAAGCCTGCCTCCCATCACCCTGTCTGTTCAGTTTACCCCCAGATCAGCCCTCTGTGAGGCCCTGCATGGTGCAGTGCTCTCCTCTGGGCTAGGAGCAAATGTGACCAATAGAGCTTCCCCTCTCCGCTGTCTTGCGTCAGGTGCACGTGTTTGGCTATCCCCATAGCCCTCGGGCAGGAATCCCTCTCTCACCAATGAGGGAAAGAAGAAACACATTCCTCCTCTTGCTGTTTTCTTTCTCTGATATAATCCACCAGCATGTGCTCAAACTTACTTACTTATCAGTTCTGCGCCAATTCAATCTCAGCAAGCCCACCTGGAGTTGTGCACACCCTCATTCCAAACTGGAGCTGTGGACCTGGCTGGCTCTGCAGATGCAGGGAACCCTACTGGCTCCCTGGAGGAATGTACCCAGCCCAGCCCAACCTACCTGCTTTTGGACCTGGAGCGCCAGGCCCCGTTTATCTGACACAATGACGGTGATAATGGTCTTGAGGACAGTAGCAAGGAATGTGTTGATTCCAAAGACCAAGGCGCAGAGTTCTTTTGATAGAGAAGATGCAATCTGAAATCTTAATGGAGAACAAAAGGCAGAAGTCAGGATTTAAGGAAGGAAAGACAGGGAGCTCTGAGAATTACAACATGGAAAGTGTCCTCTGGCGGTGGTGGCCAGAGCCTCTACAGTCCTGGAATGAGCACCGGGGGTCCCTCTGGTGCTCTCTTGCCCCCAATTCTGCCACTCTGACCAAGGCTGACTACAACAGGATTCAACACCTCTCCCTGGGGGCTGGGGATGCACTCCAGGCTGCCAAAGCTTTGTACACTAAATGCGTGCAAAAAACAACAGCAGGGATATGCTAAAAAACTCCTCCTCCTACAATCTGGGGGCAGTAACCGAATCAAAATTATTCTAAACTTTCAATTAAACAGTCAAAAACACCGATAAAAAGAATGCTGTGAGGCCAAGTAATTTTTCACTGTCAGATCTTCATTTTAGAGTCTCAGAGGAATTAGCAGTAAGTGTATGAAATACTAGAATACACAGGCAAGCAGAGCAGAAGAAAAATGCCAAGCTGAAACAACAAATGAAGCTGACCTTAGGGCAGACTGTTGTCCAAGGTCCCTTAACTCTGACTTGGGGACAAGTCGTAAGAGACCACACCATGTCACATGGCTGGCAATCACTCCACGTGAAAGGTACAAGAAGCAATGAGGAGACAGTTGTCACCTATGTGATAGGCAGTTGCCATTCTTTTTTTTTTTAATTATTTTATTATATTTTGTGTGTGTACTGTAAATCAGATCTGACTGGTACAGGAGGAGATGGCCCCTCCTTCTCTGGCAGAGCATCTGGTGGATTCAAACCACGCACCTCTGGGATTGCAGTACAGCTTCTTGCCACTAGGCCACCAGAGCTCCCTTGCCATCCTCCTTCTAATGGAGTCTCTGCCCAGCGCAGAGAGGCACTGGACTTTTAACACAAAGTTGGAAGTTTGTATTCGTCAGAGGCACATTGGAAGAAAGGCCTGGTTCTGCTTTTAGCTGGTTCAGCATGAGCTACAGACAACCCCACAGCAATGCCTATCCTCACATACCCAACAGGTAGAGAAATAAGGAAAAGAGACTATTTCATAGAAAAAAGCACAAGATATGAAGAGGCCAGTCACAAATGTAAATGAAAAGCCACTGTCAGAGATCACTTTTTGACCAAGTAATAAACTGGCTTATTAAATAAACAATATTACCAGTCAGTAGTGTGCTCCTTCAAATAATCATCTATACAGGTCGGACAGCCAACACATGGCCTAGTGCAAAGATGAGAAGGTAAGGGGTGGGAGGGGGGGCTGAGAAGGCAGATAAAGAAAACAAGTAGAATGGAAATACTGAGACATTGACACATTGTAAAAAAATTAACCAATGTCACTGACCAATATGTAAAAGAATGTTAAATGGGAACCTAAATTGCATCTAACTTATCACCAAAAACACAGAAAAATAATGTTGTTGTTACTATGTGCCATCGAGTTGCCTGCGACTCACAGTAACCCTATGTACAACAGGTCTGAACCCTGCCCTGAGACAGTCTCACTGATGCCAACACACCTACCCCCATTGCCCAAGTTATTGTGTTACTCCATCTCATCCAGGGTCTTCCTCTCCTTCATTGTCCCTCCACCCTTCCAAGCATGATGTCCTTCTCCAAGGACTGGTCTCTCCTGGCCACATGCCCAAAGTATGTGAGATGGAGCTTCAAAATCCTAGCTTCCAAGGAGAAACTTGATTCATCCTCTCCAGAACAGACCTATTTGTTCTCCTGGTGCTCCATGGTATGTTCAAATAACAGGGAGGTGGAGGGAAATCACTATCTAATAAATAAGAGAGCCTTTCTCCAAGTAATTTTTTAAAAGTAGACCAGGGGGTAGGAAGGGCCTCCCACCACTGCAGTGGGGAAGAAACTGTACTTCTCTGGGAGAGGGGCCTGGAGTACAGAGCACTCTGAGAGCCCCTCACAAAAGCATATGCCCAATGATTGCCCATTGTCCCAGGATCCATCTGAAGGTAACTCTCAGAATATGGGATGAAAAATATAGGTGTGAGAATAGTCTCTACAGTGCTGCCTGTTACAGGACACAAGATCGACTTGCATTTCAGTCATTTTCAAGAGGAACCTAAGGCATCTGCATTTGATGAAGAACTGCTCAAAGTGTGGGAACAGCAGGGATGCATGTGGAATCTGATGTCTGAAATGCTGGGACAGATTCCCAAACTCCAGAACCAGCATCAGGATCCTGGACAGGAGCTCAATCTCTTGTTTGCTCCTTTATGCTTTACTGGATCATCACAGATGCTTTTACAATGGGCACCTGTGACCTTTCGAACTACAAAAACATTTACAGCTTTACTCTAATAGACCAAGAGAGTGAACAGCAACAATGGTGAGTGCATCTCCGGGTGCGAGAGGGCTGGACTGAACACTGACAGGCCAAAGAGGGGCAAGGCAGAGGGGGAGGCAGGGTAAGGCATTGAGCTGGGTGAGTCCAGGGAAGAGTGGCTTCGGAGGGCAGGTCACTGACATGCCAAAGGGTGGGGGGGTGTTAGAAGATGGTCTTTGGCAGGGGAACAAAACTGAGCAATACCAACGTTTGGGCTGACAGACAGCCTATGAACCCCGTCTGTGCTCTGACACCTTCCTTAGTCATATGCCTACACCAGCACTCCCATGTGGGAAGGGGACATCTCAAGTAATGCCTGACCCCTCCTGTGGAAGGGTGGGGGCTGAGGGCTGTGGAGGGGTCAACACCAAAGGGCAAGATCTGCGTGGTCAGGAGCCTGCAGACACTCATAGAGCTAAAGAATGAACTTGGAGGACACACGGAGAGAGGGCCACTGCGATGAGTGTGGGGTCCAGAAGGTGCTCCAAGGAGCAGACAGTCAATGTGGGAAGGGAGGCAGGGTGTCAACAAGGCAAATTTCCTTGGAGTAGGATGGACTGGGTGGCTAGATCTTTTCAATTGCAGGGATCCCTGAGGAGGATGGAGGTGATGGAGGAGATGTAGGGGATGCTGGGTCCCTGTGATCACATGCTACATGTGTGGGCACATGCATGTGCATCTGAGTCTAAATTGTATGTACACGGTGTATATACACACTGTGCACCTGAGAGCATCATGCCACATGTCTGAGTGCATGTGCACACATTAAAGCACATGCCAAGCATGTGAACGCACACTCTGACCTTTCTTAGTCTGGATGAGGGCCTAATGGAAATAGTTTGGGGTGAATGGACAGAGCAAGTGTGGGTACCCAAGGTGCCCTGGCTGGAAGCAAAACATCAGGTACAGAAAAGAGGACAGGAGTCCTGGAGCATGCAGGCACACACTTAGGAAGGCCTTAGAGCACGGATGTGCCAGTCAGCAGGTGATGCAAGATGTCCCTGGGCACTAGGGGTGCAGGCATGCAGCTTAGGAAGGTCCTAGAGCACGGGTATGCCAGTCAGCAGGCTATGCAAGATGTCCTTGGGCACTAGGGTGCAGGCAGGTCCTGAGTTATGTGAGGCACAAGTGCAATCACCTATCGGGGAGCCCTGATGAGGTCAGACAGCAGTCCCTTGTGGTGTGAGCACTGTTCCCATGCATGAGGAAGCAGGGCAAAGCCAGGACAGGCCTTGGCCTGAGAGCAAGTCAGCAGGATTGACTCCATAGCACAGGCTGGGGGACTTGGGAACAGGAAGGGTGGCTGGGAAGAAAGGACTCCACACCATCCCAGCACAACCTCAGTGTGAAGGCAGTCTGGCAATGTCCCTGACGCTACTCCTGGTCCCTGGTGTCCCTGACCCACGCCCTAGCAGTCTAGCCAGCTGGTACTAGAGAAGCCCTGGATGCCAAGCAACTATGGCAAGAGACAAGAGGGCATGGCAGGAGGCTCAAATGCACAGGCGCAAAGCCAGTGATGGACAGTGGGCACTGTGCCTGGCTGAAGGCATGCAGGGCTCCCTTTCCTTCTGGTGTCACATCTTCCCTCCAGAATCAGGGTGCAGCTCCTCAGGCAGCACCACCCCTCCATCTCCCACCTATTCCTGAAGCCACCCTTCTACACAAGGATGCCCACCAGCTGTATACCTGCAGGGCATGGTCATCTAGGCACTAATGTGGCTACGGCAGACTGGGGGCAGGAACACCGGAGCTCACAGGCCTCACCCAAGCCCACGTCTGACTCACGTGGCAATGGGCACCAGGAACTGGTAGGCGCCACGGAAAAGCACAAAGGTGGTGTAGCAGACCCAGATGTTGTTGGTGCTAAACATGAGGAAGACAAGGCCAGCCTGGGTGATTGTGACACTCGCGATGACCAGCTTGGACCACAGGGCCCAGCGGATCTTCAGGAAGCCTGCAGCAAAGGAGGTGATGGCACCTAGGGGAGATAGTGTGTTAGGGGACCTCCAGAATCACAGGAGGGAGACAACACATTATGGGTCCCTCGGGATGCCTGGGAAAGACAGTGCATTATGGGGTTCCCCAGGGTCACTTGGGGAAGATAGTACATTACAGACAGGGTCCCCTGGGGGAGATAGCACATTACGGGGCCTCCAGAGTTGTGGGAGCTACAGGCTGCAGCAGGTCCTTGGGGTGGTGTTAGTACCCAGTAGAGTTGAGGCAGCATCCGCCCCGCCATTGTAGACTGCAGAAGGGTCCAACACGTTCCACAGGATGTGCACATAGAAGACGATCAGGTAGTAGCCGGCAGAGTTGAAGACCCACCAGAGGGACCAGAGGCGAAGTTGTGGCAGATGCAGGCTGGCAACTAGCTCACGGAGCATACGGGCAAGTACCGAGTCCTGCCAGGCTGCCAGCAGGGTGAGCTTGACTTTGCCACCTGCCGGCTTGCCAGGGCCGCCCGGGGCCATGTGGTCTAGCTCAGAGGGCACAGTGGCACGGTCCACCGGAACACTGCGGTTAAAAAAGAGGCTGCGCTTGGGACGCTTCAGGAAGAGGGTGAGCAGCAGGCTGAAGGTCAGGAAGCCCAGAGAGATGTAGTTAAGTGTGACGAAGGAGATATGGCCCACAGAGACGAGTGTCTGGCCCAGCACAGAGCTGGTGAAGACGCCGAAGAGCACGGCGGCCCTTGAATAGCCAGCCACACGCTGGTAGCGGGAAGGATGCACGAGAGAGAAGATGTAGGAAGAGTAGGCAATGCGGGCGGCCATGGTGACACTGAAGAAGAATTCCATGAACTGCATGTGCAGCACCGTGTGGCCGAAGAGCAGCAGCAGCCACAAGGACACGTAGCTCACGCTCTGCAGCACCAGCACCGGCTTGTAGCGCAGGTAGTCAGTGATCAGGAAGACCGGCACCAGGACCACCAGGTAGGAGTAGGACAGCACCGGCGTGATCTCGTTGGTGACCTGTGAATGGGTAAGTCCATGACCTTGCGGCATTCAGCTTGACTCCCTCCTACGACGGGGACCCGAAGACCTGACGATGAGCCTTCGGACCAGCAGCAGTGCAGTCAGCAAGCGAGAGAGGCTGTGCCAACCCCCATCTCCCACCACCCTGCGGCCAGTGGAGGCTGCTCAGATCACCCTACTCATTTAACGTGTTCTGGGAGTGTGCAGGCATCAAGGCATGCTGTCTGACGGAGCCAGTAAGCTCAGCCAGCTTGAACATCTAAGCGGGGGGTGGCTTAGCCCCCATATTGCGTAGCTGACCTGCCAAGCACGTCTCCTTAAATCTTCAGCCCTGCGGAAAGCAAGGGTGAGCCCATTAGCGCTAACCAAACAACACAGAGCGCATTAGGGTATTCCCTGTACACACCAGCGCCTGTGAGGCCAGGAGCCAAGGCCAGTCCCCAAGATCCCTGGGAACCCCAGTCTGAGCCCTTTGTTGGGAATAAAATTCTGGGTCAGGCCTGGGCGGAGTATCACGCAGCCGGTGTGGAGGAAGGTTCTTGGCAGGCGGCGAGCCTTGCTCTGCCAGGAAGGCTCCCATCAGTGCCAGTGTGGGGGACCTTACCAGGATGCTGTCAGCAGCTGCGGTTCTGATCTCCACGGGGAGGCAACATAGGCAGCATTTAGGTCAGCCCCTGAGGACCAACTTTAATTTACAAAGAAGCAGCCTGGAGGCATCTGCCCACTGAAGCCCCTTCCAGCTCTTCTCAGCAGGAAACAGCTGGGCACAGGGGACAATCGCAGGAGGTATACGAGTGCATGGCACCCCCAAGAGTCTGTGAGTATCTTGAATGCCCTCCTCACACCCTTGCAGCTGAGAATTAAAATGATAAAGGGTGGACAGACCAAGTCTGAAGGCTCCTGGAGTTTCACCTCACACATCAATTAAGAATGTTGCTTCCTCTACGCTTTAAAACAGACTTTCTCAAAAAACTCCCTTGCCATCAAGTCGGTTCCAACTCATAGAGATGTTCCATTGAGTTTCCAAAGCTGTAGAGCTTTACAGGAGGGGACTTTCTCCTAAGAGCAGATGATGGGACTCAAATCCCTAAGGGCATGGCCTTTGCGTGAGCAGCTCCACTCAGAGCTCCCTAAAGTAGAAATAAGGGCTCATCATTACGTGACCTCATGATCTCTCTCTTAGTATAATATTCCCCTGTGGAATTGCCTCTTAGCAAAGTCAAGAGTGGTACCGCACCTCATCCACATCAGCAGGCGTGCACATGCCTGGCCTGAGAATGCCAGCAGCTCCCTGGTGTGCAGCCAGTCAGCCGGGTGCTCTGCAGACTCTGATTCAACCTCAACCCCGCAAGCCTGGCACTGCAGCCACGCAGGAGCAGGTGGGCGGGATGCTCTCAGAGCCCCTGCCACCCCTACTCCACACCAGCACAGTCACAGGAGGGCCCAGCCACAGGAGCGCCTAAGAGCAGTACACTGAACATGACATTAAGTCCAGTGCTCTGACCCCTGGAGGAGACCCAAGAGAGCACTGTCCCTGCTACTCAGGTCTTCAGTGCTATCTATGTGTTTACCAAGAGTTGCTTATAGATTTGGATGGAGAGATGCTGACATTTGATCTTGGGGTGCTGGCCAGGTTTTGCTGGGGATGTGGCACTGCACACGGCATAAGATCGAATCACCCATCTAAGTCCTCACAACTGTAATACTTGGAAGAGTGTGAACTGGATTCCAAGCTTCTTCATTCAAATGGCCTGGCTCCCAGTGTGGATGGAATAAGGAGGGGCAGAGGCTGTACACCCTGGGGGAAGGACCTGGGGAGACATGTCATAAAACCTGATCTCGGAAGACACAGAGCACTGTACTCACCCCAAGTGACACTGGGACTGCTCTGAAGAGCCCCAAGCTCTACTCCCCACTGGACTTGGCAGACAGACAAGGTGGGAGCTCTGTGAAGACCCTGACCAAGACATTTATGCTCAGAAGACCTGCTGAGGATGTGCAATCTGTCTGGCACCCATCACCTCAGGTGGAATATTGAGAAATCTCACTGGCCAGAGCCCAGCCTTACCAAGCACTTTCCATACGCCCTCTCACTGGCTGATTCCTAACAGGTTTAAGGAAAGCTCAAAATGCTGAATCTACATTAAAATGGCTCCAGGCAGGAAGGAGGGGATTCCCTGTGAGACTGTAGGTGGCCTTCGGGGATACTGGAAGACTTGTGGGCAGCACAGCAAGACATTCTACATCAAAAACAAACAAAACAGGCAGAGTGGAGCCTGTGCTGTGGCCGGGTGGGTGGATGCTGGGAGCGAGGCAAAAAGGGTCTGGGTGGAAGGAATAACAGCGAGGCCATGGCACTGATGCCATATACCAGAGCTTGGAGCAGAAGGAAGCCATGCAGATTAGGGAAGGCAAGAGGGTGGGTTCAAACAAAGAGAGGGGTATGGGAAGCACAGGGGACTCAATCCAGGTCACAGGTGTCCTGAAAACCCATAAGTAAAGGTGTTAAGGGCCGAGGACAGCATGCAGTTGCCTTCACTAAGCCTGTGATGGTTTCCTGGTGCCTGGGGCGGGGGGGCAGGCCTGGGGCTGCACCATGAGCTCACAGGGCAGGTGCTGGAGGACATCTCCTGGAAGTGACTCCCCTGAAGAGGCTGTAAAGTCATGATGATGCCTCTGTGAGCTACAAAGCACAGACCTTGTGGACAGCCACATGGACGATCATACAATAGGTCATATGGGAACAGATGGGAGAATGCACAGAAACAGGGCTTAACAGAAACAGAGAAATTAGAGTAGGGACAAACGGTCAGACACACACATGACCCCCAAGGACTGAGCAGAGAGAGCACCCCACCAGGCTGGGAAGAAGGCAGAAAGGTTCTGTAAGGGTCTTGACAGGGGGTAAAGGGGCTGCACATCATTCCTCATATCAAACTGCTCACTAGTCCAAGACCAGAACCTGAAAAGCACAGCCTGCAGGCCTCCACAGGGTACTTCTAGGTGCAGGGTGAATGGGGGTGGGGTGGTTAAACGTGAGTCTCAAAGCAGAACTCAGTGGATAAAATCATGGCTAAATTAAGAACTCACTGGCATTGTTGCTGAGTGCTGAGTCAGAATCGACCCACAGCTGCCTTCCAACAGGGTTTTGGAGGCAGTAAATTGCGAAGGGGGAGACTTCCCATCCGCGTCCCACAGAGCAACTGGTGGATTTGAACTGCATGCCTTTGGGACAGCAACATAGCTTCATACCACTAGGCCACCAGCTCTCCCTCATGGCCACACAGTTTCAACTCATAGCAAGCCTCCATTGGGTTTCCAAGGCTGTGAATCAAACAGAGAGGAGAGACTGCCCATCTTTCTCTTAAGGAACCTCTGGATTTGAATGATACACAGAGATATGCAGCCTTTGGGTTATCAAACAACTCAAGTACACCACCAGTGTACCCTGACGCACTGGGATGGCCTCAAAAGCATGACATGTCAGACGTCAGGATTTCTACGTTTCAGGGGGCCATTCTGATGGGACATTCCCCATTTCCATGGTAACTATAGTTTGATTTAAATAACCCCAGAGCCTGAGTGGGGTGGCAGCCAAGTCCAGCCTGGCAAAGCAGGGGCAGGCCAAGAAAGCGCAGGGGCCTGGGTAGCACAGGAATATGGGAGACAGGGGCCAGTGAGCAGCTTGAAGGAGATGGCAGGAGTGTTGGACCCATCCCAGCTTCAGAGGAGCCCTGGATCAGTGCTCGGGGCAGGTAGTGCAGGGGCATGTTTTCAGACACGACAAGGACAAGGAAACGGGGGTGGGGGTGGGAGTCGGGGGTGGGTTGTCAAGGTGATTGCCACTGCGGACAAACACTGCAAAAACACAAGTTTGAAAAGGGTAGTCTGGATAGTTGGTTGTTAGCCCAATCTATTGGGTGAGACTCCTGCCCTGGGATTTGAGGCCCACACACACTCACTTGAAAAGACTCAGTGGGACCTTTGTCCTACTACCAAGTAGAAGGAACATTCCTGCAATAATCTTCTTATCCAACAGCTGCCTAAGTCTCTGCTTGAAGCAAGAGCCCTGCGGAGCCTGACATGGGGCCTGGAATGTGGACAGGCTCCAAGGGTCAGGACCTGCCTGGCCTCCTCCTGTCTAAGGCCTGAGATGATGTACACGTGCCGGGGGGTGGGGGGGGTGGATAAGGGAGTAAGTGGGGAGAATGAGGGGAAAGATGCGGAGGGCACTGGGGAACAGGATGGGGGGTGTGCGAGGTGAGGAGGCAGAGGGAACAGCACGGAAGCACTTCTCACATCTAGCTCTCTTCCTCAGAATGACCCTCAAGGTAGACCCTGAATCCTTAGCTTGGCTGCATGAGGATCCAGCCAGCTCCATAACCTTGTCGCCACCTGACTTCTCCAACTGCGACTGCTTTAGATTCACGTAAGGTAGAGAAAAAGATCAGCCACTCGCTCCAGTGATGCTGGGGTGAAAAAACAACCCCATATTCAAACCACAACTCCCCCCTGCCCTCCATGAGATTCATCTCAGCCAGCCACTTGCCTGCTCCTTGGTGAAATTTTTGTCTCCCAGGAGGAAAGGTGTGATGAAGCTCTCCCCAGGCCGCATCTGTGCCATGAAGCCGTAGAAGCAGATGCAGAACACCAGGACCCGCCAGGACTTGAGCTCCCGGCCCCCAGTGGGGTCCAGGGGTGGCTTCTTTTCTGCTGCTGTCACCACTGAGCTGGAGGGTGCCATGCTGCTGCTAGGGGACAGAAGGGAACACTGACCCTGGAAGAGGAGCACACAACTGCCTGGAAACCACCTTCCTTGCCTGGGGCTGACTGCCTTTCTTCCCCGAGGCTGACCGCCAGTCCTCCTGCCTCCTCTTGTCACTCAGCGAGGACTGAGAGGCGGGTGAGCGGGGTCAGGCCTGGCCTAGTGGGGGTCCACTGGGAGGGGCTTGATCAAGAGTACACCCTCTGGAGCAAGAAACAATATAAGGCCATGCCACACCCACATTAGGCTATTATTAGCCCCAGGCACAAGGACCCAGGAGGTTTAAATAGAAATTAAACAAAAGTTAGCAGTCTCTCAAGCACTTCAAATGCTCCCAGCCGCCCAGGACTTGTGTTTTGGGCAAGACCAGCTTCCTTTACCAACCAGGGGTCTCAGGCAGCACTGTGATTGCTGAACGAGTCCAGCTCCCAGGTGAATGTGTGTGTGGCTGACACCCGACGTACCTGTGGTCACCTGGAAGACAGGAGCTGGGAGGGGCCAGACGTCCGGGAGGGGAAGCGGCAGCGGCTCTGACTGCAGGTCCTCACACACCTGGCCACACCGCAAGCTGTCAACACTGGGTGGGTAGAGGAAGAACCACAGTCTTAGAGCCCATCTGAGGTCCCTGGCGCTGAATTCTGATCACCAGGCCTAGGGCTTCTGGCATTGATGATAGGAGCAGATGACAGGAAGAACAGGAGAAAGTTGGCTTTAGGGTTGGACAAAGAGTCAAAAAAAGCAGGGTGCATACGGAGGCTGCAGGCCCACAAGGAGCAGAGCAGACATCTAGAAGCAGGCACGCTCCCACACAGAAAGTGGGGGGAGATGTCACAGGGAAGTTAGAGCTGGCCTTCCTCCACAAGCAACGCTGAACCCTGCTCTCAGCCTGGGCGGTGCCAACCAGCATTCCCTGACATGGGGTGTCCCCAGGTGGACTCCCCGTGCACTTGAGGGAGATGTCAGGTAGTGCCGATCAGAAAGCAGCGTGAGTCAGCCTAGGTCACAAGGTGAGAACTCAGTAAGCCTCTCCCACGCCCCTCCAACCACTTTACTCCAGCAAGGAGACCTCTACCTTGGCGCAGACCACTCCTGAGACACCTGATTAGCACCCCTGCTCACGAGGTACGAAGAGGCACAGGTCATCACACCTACTTCCCCAAACACAAAGTTCCTGCCTCGTGCCGGGTCATTTTTATCACTGCGTCTCTGGGCCAAGTGAGCCGAAGCCAGGCACTAGGATAAAGGTCCGCTGGGCTGATTACATCAGAGTACAATCAAGTCAGCAACTCAGTGCTGTTTGAGTCGGAACCTGGAACCGACACAAAGCTGACACGCTGGTGGTTTTCAGAGGCTGCAAATCACGTGGAAGGAGAATACCCCCCTTTCTCTGGAGGAGCAGTTAGTGGATGTGTCACATCAGCCAGGGCTCATGAGCCAACCATGTGCATGAAGCCAGGAAGGTCCAGCTGCCCCTGCAGCCGTCTGAGATATCTCAGCAGCCCTGGGGGCTGGCAGAGCCCATGAGTCCCCTACTTAGGTCCGTGGCTGAGGCACGTGAACCAGACCATAGGAAGAGCTGGGATGCCCTGCACAGCTCAGTGGACAGTTAGGGCTCACCTGGGAGGAGTACAAGAAGGTCTCAACTTGGACAGAAGTCTTTTCTAAGCCCAGAAAGTCCCTACAATATGGAATCAATTGTGAGGTGCACCGTCCTTGAGGAGGAGCTGAACCAGATCCCCATCACTCAGCACTGCCCCAGCTCTCAGCTATGCCTCCATGACCACCAAAGCTGGAAGGACTCCTAGCACTCCTAACTGTGGCACCACCAAGGCCCAGGAGTGAGGGGACAGGCAGGGTCTGCCTGTGTGCCAGAGAAAGACTTTCCAGAAGGCCAGACCACATTGTACCTCAGCCCCATTTGGGAATGGAGACCAGGCTCTCAGTGGGAAGGTAACATCAGCTTCTGCATTCATTTCTTCATATCTGTTTGTGGGACTAAGGAAGAACAAATTGAAAAACCATAGAGAACCCCTTAAACATGCTCTGGGGCATGTTTGTGGGGCTCACATTCAAGTGGAGTGGCTGTGAGAATTCCAAAGAGGAGATGGTAAAGAACATATCAGAAAAGACGTCAGAAGGCAGCAGCCCCAGAGGTTACCAATGCAAGGATGGTCCCCTGCACCCCAAATCAAAGGGGCAAGAAGAAAAACAAGAAGTCAGAAGAACCAGCTGTCACTCCACCCCTCACCCCCCAAGAAAGCCAGGCTACAGAGGGAACACAGCAGGAAATGTTGCTCAGCCAAATGGGACTGCTGCCTGCTTTTCTTGGTCATGTGTCCTAAACCTCCTCGCAGTTGGTAGCAAAAACTGGAAGGACCATTCTTTTCATGCCCTATTTCAGAGCAGGGACCTCTGGGTCCAGGCCATGCATGGGTCTCCCTAGGCCCACACCTCTAAGTGTGTTCATCCTTTTCCTTCTGGGAAAGCACGTTTCAGCCCCAACATTTCTCCTAACTTCCCACTCCCGGGCAAGGCTAAATAAATGTGCTTCTCCCTGGGTTCCACATCCACTTCTAAGCAGGTTCCCTATCCACACTCTCTAAGCAATCTCACACTCTTGGCCCCACCAAGAATTCCAAGCATTGTGTCAGTCAAGATAGCAACAAAGCCCAGGAGCCTGTGCCCTAAACAGATGTTCCAGTTCTTTACCCTTAGTGTTGTTGTTGTGTGCTCTTGAATCAACTATGACTCATAGAAACCCCATGCACAATAGCTCTGAATCCTGTTCTATCCTGAGCCAATCTCACTGTCTCTGACACACCTACCCTCATTACCCCAGTTATGATGTCAATCCACGTCATCTGGGGCTTTCCTCTCCTACGCTGTCCCTAAACCCTTCAAAGCATGATATCCTTCTCCAAAGACTGGTCCCTCTTTGCTATACACCCAAGTATGTGAGATGGAGTTTCAAAATCCTTGCTTCCAAAGAGCAGCTAGGTCTCACCCTCTCTAGGACAGACTTGTTAATTCCCTTGGCAGTCCATGGTATGTTCAATATTCTTCTCTAGCACCACAACTGAATGGCATCAATTCTGTCATCTGCCCTCTGGTGTATAGCAAGTAATTTTGAAGACCATGGCCTGGATCAGGCACACCTTAGTCTCTAGATTAACATCCTTGTTCTTCAGCACTCTGGAGAGGTTCCTGAGCAATTCATCTTTTGACTGCTGGTGCTAAGAGTATTTGGCTTGCTCCAATTCAGGACCCCAGGTCCTCCAACCTCCACATCCTTCCTGTGTTCAGGACCTAAGCCTCCATTCTCAGCATCTATCAGGAACTCAGCACACAGGCCTCTGCCCATGATCACTCAAGACCCAGGATTCTCAGCACCCCTATCCTAAGGACTTCATCTCCAGTGATGACAAGACTCTTCCTTGCTTCTGTTGCCCCACGTTTAGGGCACTAAATCTTGAGACACATGCACAAAGCCCTCACAAACTCCTAAGGCTCCACAGATCTCTGATCCAGTGCTCATACTTCATGAAAGCTGCTGGGACTTAGGGTCTAGGCCTGTCCTAGGCTGTGGGGAAGGTAAGAGGATAGCCCATGATTCTACTTTGAACATGATCAGAGGGGATATGTCTGAACACCGAGCGGGTTTGTACACTGAGATGAGTCCACTCTCCCTCCTCACGCGATCTCACCTTGCCCTGTGTAACAAAGGGTGCTCCAGACATGGTCACCTGATGTTGTGCATGTTTTAACAAGTATCCTGCGCTGTCCTTAATCAGATCCAGGGCCATTTCAAGAGCCTATCTTAGCCCTAAGGATAAAGCCTAGAGGTGCACCAGGGGGCCTCTGGAATGGAGAACCCCTAGAGGGCATGGGGATTTATCTCCACTCTGGAATAGGAATTTTCCATGCAGTTACACCACTTTCCACAGAACAGTAACAACAGACTACGGAAAATGTCGAGACTCGAGTCAAAGGCTGACAGGCGATCTACGTGGGAAAAGTCAAGCCAGGGGCCATGGGAAGAGTCTGGCTGTCTTAAGGCCCAGGATAAATTCACATGGGAATGTAGTTCAAAAGCACAATATTTCATCTGAAAGTCTTCAATACTGGCCAGGAATGAGAAAATTTTTTTAAATACCACAAAAGACCAAATTCTACAAACTCACACCAGGAGGGAGAATGAGGCTTCAGGGCTCCTTTGCTTACTCCCCCCTATGATCTCCACACACAACCCTTACTTATAACCCCTAGAGCTGTGGAATGAGGTCCAAAGTGCATCCACCAAAGTCAGGTGGAGGAATATGGTACTTAAGTGAGCAACGCAACCCACTACCCTAATTCTCTTTTCCTCTCTCCAGTGAAGTCAATCACAAACACGGACAAGAGATCAGCTATTACACTGCAAACCTTAAAAGCATGTCCCAAACTTCCTGACAGAGGATCTCTCGTGGCCTAGTCATCATTGAGTTGCACTAATCCAAAAGCTGGGTGGTTCGAATCCACCAGTGATTCCAGGAAAGAATGAAGGGTAGTCTCCTCCCATTAAGATTTACAATTTTGAAACTCCAGTGGTGGGTCACTCTGAGGCAGAACTGACTTGAGCAGCAATGAATCTGAGTATCCCTGTAGGGGACAAAGCCCTCTGAGAGCACAGCAGTAGTTGGGGCATCATGCCCCAGGATGAGACAAGTAGAAGGATGCTGTCCACCATCCACAGCCCCCTTAGCTAAGGACAAGAAGAGCAGAGGGCTGAGTGAGGACCAGAGCTCACGCTGCCAAGACACAGAGCTAAGCCAAGCCTGAGGCCCCCCATCAGATGAGACATGTAGGCCACCTGTGTGCAACTTAAATCATCCCTGGTTGGATGAAGGTAGACCTCTGGGAGTGGAGTTCAAACATTACTCCTTAAATCTTCCATTCCACCCCTTCTGCCCCCCATCCTTTTTGACCACTCAACCCCCAGA